ATCAGTTCTCAGTCACTGTAATGAATGAGGGACTATCACGGATCTGACAGATGGGACAGAGCAGAAAGGAAAGAAAAGAGGCACATGAATGTTAAACATTGTCACACACACAGACACAAAAACTGATTCTCACAATGCAAACACGCTCCTATGCTGCTGCTGTTTGAGTTATTCGCCAGTATTATGAATAATTTGCTCTGTATCGTCTCTGCAGGCAGTGTAACAAGACTGCGACCGGCAGTGAGAGCTGTGGACTCATGTGTTGTGGACGAGGGTATAATGCCTATACGGAGGTGCTGGTGGAGCGCTGCCAGTGTAAATATCACTGGTGCTGTTACGTGTCCTGCAAGACCTGCCATCGCACTGTTGAGAGATACGTCTGCAAGTGACAAACCACCTTATTGACTGTCTTCATCGACAGAGAGGAGGAGGCACGGTGCAGTGCTGGGTGAATGTGTATGATCTTTCTAGAGTCATATGTGAGTGGATAATCCGCTCTGAGTGCTGTAAGGATGGCATGCAAGTGAAGAAAGAAGAACCGGAGTTGAGGAATACGGGATGGTGAAAGAGTTAATGAATGGCTGTAAACCAAGAACCCTGCGGTGAGGCCCTCAAGGCACCCCGCATGAAAAGCAGAGTGATAAATAGTGGCTGCTCACAGCAAAACTCATCAACTCCAGCACAGAGGAGGAGACATGGGGGGAGGGTAGAACTGTACTGGTAAAGAGTTACTTTACTGCTGTAATACTTTACACATTGCTGATCTATTCAGATCTGTTTTGGTCAGATAAATTTCATAGGTTACACAGCAGTAAGAGATTGAATCAAACTGTTTAGTTTGGGTGACTTCAGAAGTTATGTGTGCTCAGTATTGATTATGAAGGGCACCATTGTATTCATGAAAAGAAAGATTAAGGCAGTGCCTTTCACCCTGGGAAAACTTGTACATTTTCTGTAAAAATTAAAATTTGTATTTATTTTATTTTATTAAAAAATATTTAATGTGAAAGAGACTTTGTAATTTTTCATCTTGTAATAGTTAAAGGGATAGTTGGCCCAAAAATGAAAACTTGTCATTATTTACTCTTGTGGCATTCCAAACCTTTTGCAGAACAGAAAAAAAGATATTTTGAAGAATGTTGGTAACTAAACAGTATTGGTGCCCATCGACTTCCACTGTATGTACAATAAACACAGAGACATTTCTCCAACTAGAAGTCTTGCTTATAGTCAGTCTAAAGCAGTTTTGAGAAGATGTATGTTGGTCAGAATCTGAACAGCATTTTATAGCAGTTCTGCATGTGAACGTGAGCATGTTTTCTCTCTCTCATCAGCATTCTTCTACATCAAAGACATTTTCAGGATATCAGTGCTATAGAGAGATTAAAAACCCAGATAGTAAGCATTCAACAGAAGCAATGAGAGAAAGAGACAAAGGGCTGACCTGTTCTGCAGTTCCTTTTGTCCTTTGATTTGCCTGATTTTTATCTCTGCATTGTTACAGCAAGACAAAGGCACACACAGACTTCTGGGCTCTTTACAGGACCAAGCTGAGCCTCGGAGGGGGTTTAGCTTTGCTCAACAGCTTACAGTCTTTAAATATATCAAAGATGCTTGTTGATATAAAAAATAAGCTGGCAGAGAAGAATGTTGAGTGATGTTGCTAAAGTATTAGCACAGCAGTTATTTTCCCTTTACAAAAGTTTATCTGAAGTCAATCCGAGACTTTAATCACAAGGATTTTATCAGCCACAGGAAGCAATAGACAGGAAAAAGGTGTGTCAGATGCTTGAGGTATCTCAAGAAAGAAGGAGTGTAATGGCGTTTCTTTCTCTGTCTAAAAATATCGATCTGTTTTTTCAACATGAGATTATTCTCTCTTCTTTGTTGACTGTGCACCTGGTGTGAATCTCTGGAATGTGGCTCTTCATTTAACTGGGTCCCGTGTATTGTTTACTGAGAGCATAACACCACACCCCCACACAATGAGTATTTACACACACAGTCTGAGGAAGAGTTTATTAGTTCTTGACTGTTTGCTGAGTGACTGTTTGTGAAAACAGATGCAGGACAATCCCACCGATCTCTGCTGACAGACTCATCCAAACCACTTTTTCACACACACGCATTTGTTTTTCTGTCACAGTGGGAACTTTACATTGACTTCTTCTCATTACAGTTTTTATACTGAGATGATGACATGAGATTACATGATAACGCTAAATCATTTCCTTATAGTGACCTTGGGAAGGTCTTCATAATGTAGGTGGATTTGGTTTTTGCTATCAGCCTGAGCTACACACACAGACAAAATCTTTTTATAACATCGTCAATGCGCTTTGCTATTTTTATATTGACCTAGACCATAAACTTTCCCCTTTAAAAAAACGTTCAGCTTTTTGGTTTTAATTCAAAGGTTTAGCTCCTTTATTAAGCCCTTCTCCTCAAGGCAGGAACATCTAGTCCATTTGCTATCTGACCTGCAGAGGTTTCCGTTTGAGCTCTGGGGACTGTATATTTGAGTGTGTGTGGCACCTGTCAGTTCTGCCCCCCATATTGCAAATGACAAAGCAAAGGGCATAAAAGGGTGTAAATCTCACAACATAGCTGGACACACACACATACTGAGAATAGATCTGCAAGTGACTCCAAATATGTGAAGAATTGACAGCCTGGCATGACAAAAATAGAACCAAAAAAATCTTTTAATCTGCACAACTTGTAGGAAAACTGGGTGGAAATGTCTGTATGCATGCTGTTTTTCAGTTCTCTTCAGCTCATGGGGTTTCCTGGTGTTTCTTTGAATGTGGTTTGTCTATGTTATTCTGTTATTCTATAGGGTGACAGTTGATGTATGTTGCATGTTCCAAGGGTAGAGATCAGGGTTTAAGGTCATGACTGGGTTAGGGTTAGTCCTCTACTATGAGGGGAATTTTCCTTTCATGGCCAGAAAGACAAAATAACCTCAGAGCCCATTAAAACTGATTAAAAAATAGTATCTTTAATAAGAGAATAGACATGATCTCACACCTGCTCAACGGCCTTTAGCTGCAGACAGAAACTTGAATGTGTGGTTAAACATCAGATTAAGAAAAGACTGGATCCGGATCAGTGAACTGAATAAACACGTTTGCTTTAGCCTAGAGAGAGTTCTCATCTATCACAGCTCTAATGTGTCATGGTTTCTCAACAGCTGATCATGCCAGAGGTTCAGTGATACAACACCATGGGAAAATGAGTTGAGTTTCCGCTTTGTCCTAACAAAGGCTCAGTCTTTGGTGTTAAAGCAGCCCTGGACTATGTTACTTCATGAAGTTTATTTGTCCTACACAGAATGAATGATTCGGTTAAACAATCCCAGACTCATTTACTGCAGGCAAAATCATTAATAGCAGCCAAACGTGTATGAAGCTGCCTTCATACACTCACGCAAACAAATAATCCAGCACACAGTAACGCATGAAGTGACCGAGACCACTGAGACGAGTGGTTTCTGAATGCTAATGCTGTCACAGATCTTTGTTTATACTGGGTGTAAAGCTTTTTAAAATGAAAACTGAGTAGACCTGTGGGAGATCTGTTTTTTTTTTTTAAGGTTCTTGCTATTCCTACTTTGGATTTTTAAAGATATGGTTCAGAATGGTCATGCTGACAGAAAAAGAGCAGGAGTTTTGCATGAAAATCAGTTTTATGTGCAAACTGAGAAGAACGTTTTCTCTGAATATTATCACTGTGTAAAGTTAGCCTTCTGGTAAGTTAGAAATAATAACAAAGGCAAAAATATATACGCATGGTGTGGGAACTCATACCATGACAATATTGTCCAGGGTAGGGCAAGAGACAGAAATTCAAGGTGGGAAAGTAGTTTTGCACTGTAAAAAAGGCTAATTTTGAAAGTATCACTTTATTTTTGTTTAAGACATTAGGGCAATTCCCAAATTATTATTTCTTGTTTTAAGCATAATTCTTAAAAAAATAAAGAAAAAAGCATTGGCCATTAAGCATACTCTGTCCTGGTATTTAAAATATTTGTAAATATATACATGCTTTACATTTGTGAATGCTATAATAAGAGCAGGATAGTATGTACACTGGTACACTCAAGTACACGCTTAGAGATGCAACAGCTTAGAACAGTTCAAATGTAAGTGTTTAATGGCAATTTAACCTTCAGATGAGGGAAATTGTTGAACTTTTTTTTTTTAATGTTCATCTACAATTGAATTTCTTATATGGTAAAAGTAATGACAAAGCTTTTCCTTTTTTTTCAAAATCACAAAAGAATGTTTTCCTGTTAAAATAAATGTTTTATTTTAAAAGGTTTTTAAAAGTATTACATATTACTAATTTCCTTCGTTACTTAAAATGAAGGAAGTTTACTTCAAAACCATTATAGTGATAATTCATTTGTAGTGAATTTTTAGGAGTCATTTTTAATTAAGATAGTAATGTTTGTACATTTAGTCAAAAAAACAAACAAACTTGAGAGCATCTTTTCTGCCATTGTGATTTTGTTAACCTTTGGGACACAATCTTTGAGTAGGAATTAGTTACAAAGATATCACATTGTTAAGTTGTGTTTTTAGGCAAAACGAAGAGATTGATTTTTTTGTGCACAAATATTTTGATTTTAGGTTTATTTACACAAATATATATTTGTTACTCTAAGTTTTGTGGCATTTAAAAATGATTTACATTTGTTTTATTTTAATCCTTAAAGCAGCTAAAAATGAATGCTTTAAAACGCTCTAAATTACTTGCATAATATATTGATTAAGTTTAATTATATTTTAATTTATATTCTATTTTACTTTTATATATGTCGGTATGTATTATTTTAAGTATTTATTTGTTTCTTTGTTTACTTCTGTTTCAATGATGATGATAACGCCTGTTTGTTTTCTTAAAAGATTGAATAAACCTTTAGTGCGACATTAAAGCTACAGAAATGTAGTAAAGGGCACTGGTGCAATGATCTCTATTGACATCTACAGTGAGACGTCAGAACTGCAACACAGAGAACCGACCGGAAGCTAAGAACCGGAACAAACGGAATCCGAGCTGGATCTTAAATCAGCTTTGAGAAATGGCGGCCGCTGAAGACACTAACACTACACAAAACCCCAGCGGTTCAGAGGCTCCGAAACTGTCGGATTTACTGGACCGGAGCTGGAAGCTGTACGAAGAGGTGGACACCACAAACGAGCCGAGCAGCTCCAATGCAGTGCAGGTGAAAGTGAAGCGCGGAATCATGCAGCTGGAGGAGGCGACGATGATGGTCAATCAGCTCGACCTGTTCAGGTTTGAGGAACACACACACACACACACACACACACACACACACACACACACACACACACACACACACACACTCAGACTAAACACAACACAACAACTGCTCACGAGGCGACATATTAAACCGCTCCTGTTATAATCAACATATCTGTCAAAGGACTGCGCGCGAGCGACGCGCTGATCATGAGAACTTGATATTTTGTCTAGTCATCTGTTGCCAATTAAAACAGTAAATGTTTAAGATGTGTATATTACACTTTTACACTACAGTAATGTACAGTAAAGGCCTTTTTTATCTACAAAAGTGTATTGTTACCAAGTTCTTACAGTTATTTAGAGTATGACTCAGCTGTGTAGGCCTTCACTGCACTTCTTTCAGCAACTATAATGTATTTTGTGTGTATTTTCCCTTGTGCTATTAAATTAACAAACTGACAATTAAACTAACATTAATATTATACAAACTGTTCAGGTATGTATTTAAACATGAGAAGCAAATTCTGCAAATAAAAAAAAAATCATTACAATTACCATTACAAAACAACAGCTAAATAAAACTTACTGGAGTCCTTTTTAATTTCCTTATTTTTTCTGTAGTCGTAATGAGGCATTGGAGGAAATCTCCACAGCCGACCTGAAGTACCTGTTGTTGCCGGCTCTTCTGGGAGCGCTCACCATGAAACAGGTGAACCCCACCAAGCGGCTGGAGCATGTGCAGGCGGCCCGTGTCTACTTCATGGACTTCCTCCAGAGATGCAAGAACTATGACGTGTGTAGTTTTCAGCTGCCCAAAACCAGTGAGAACACAGCAGATACTCCTACTGAGGAGCAGACGAATCCATCAGTTCCCATGCCAATGCCACAGCCAGACCTCATCGCCATGGCAACACAAAGACAAGCCAAAATAGAGAGGTGGGTTGGCACTGAATATTTGTTTACATGCAATTATTTTATATATATACACTGGGGTAAGATATTTAAAGATGTTTTTAAATTAAGTGTCTTATGCTCACCAATGCTGCATTTATTTGATAAAAAAAATACAGTAAAAACTGATGATTGTGAAACTGTTTTCTGTTTTAATAATATAGTTTCATATAGAATATTTTTTATTGTAATATATGCTGATTTGGTGCTCCAGAAACATTTCTTAGTATTAATAATGTTGTGCTGTTTATATTTTGGTGGAAACGGATACATTTTTTTTGTTCAGGGTTCTCTGATGAATAGAAAGTTCAAAAGAACAGTGTTTATTTGAACTGTTTTGTCACATTATAAATGTTATTTTTGATCAGTTTAAACTGTCCTTGCTGAATAAAAACATTATTTTAAAATCACATTTGAATTAAAGTGTATATGTTAATATTTGTACAAGGTTGGTGTCTTTTCCATCAGTTGTGCTAATGTTTGTGTAACGTTCATGTGTGGCATATTTACTCTGTAAGTTGTTTCCAGGTTTAAGCAGCGTAAGGAGACAGAAGCCAAGCTGAGTGAGATCAGGGGCCTGGTTGAATCTGGCTCAGCCGATGAAGAGGTGGTGAGAGATTTTTACCTGCTGCATGTACGCAGGTGGGTCACACTAGCAATTGAGGAGATCGACTCTATCAACCAGGAGATGGAGATTCTGAAACGGATGGAGCTTTTCAAGCAGGTATTTGATTGCCACATGAATTACATCCGTGTGTTTTTTGTGTGAATGATGTGGTTGCATACCTACCACTCTTACATCTACCTCTGATTTGCTGCAAATATATATATATTTCTAAAGATTAGCCATTAATAATTGTTTGTTTCTGTAGAGCGCGCCCCAGCCATCTCCACCTAGAAGACCGCCTATGAAGCCTTTTATCCTGACTAAGGATGCTGTGCAGGCCAAGTATGTGTGCATTTGAAGCGTGTCTGTGATGTTCAGTGCTGCAGTATTTGTTTATGTGTGATCTTTTATTTTCTGAATGTATTGCAGAGTGTTTGGTGCAGGGTATCCCAGTCTTCCTACCATGACAGTGGATGATTGGTATGAGCAGCAGTATTAGAAGTTGTAACATTACCAGTAATGTGCTTTGTGTGAACGCAGCACTAGATAACCGGTATGAGCATGTACAAGTTCAGAACGTGCGGACGTAAGACGTCTACTCTGGGCCAATCATAACATTCTGACGCAGATGACGCAATAACTACACGCTGTTTACGGAAGTCAAAGAAATGTCTAAAGTCGTCTAATACGATGTCTCTGAGCCAAAAGCAGCTGCATGAATGTGAAAGTTTGACACAAAAATGAAAACATCAACAAAAACACTATGTATACCCCTCCATGTTTACAAACACAACACCATGAGGCACATTTAGAGGTCATTTCCAGTTAATGTTGTCACAGAATTTACCGGTATTTTGAAATCGATGTGTGAATGATGCTTTACCGGTAAAAAGACGGAATGTTCTTTCCTGTGTGAGCAGCACATTTTTGTATTTACCGGTAAAGTCGTTCAGGCAATTTACTGGTATTACTGTATGAAGGGGCTATTGAATATTTTTTAACATGCATGTATGTATCCATCATCCAGTGTCCAAGGGAACACCAATGACTTCTTTATGAAATATATTTTTTAATTATTTTATATTTACACTGGGTAAAATACAGTAAAAACAGTGATATGTTGGGAAATATATTACAATTTCAAATAACAGTTTTCTGTTTTAATATATATTTTATATACAATATATTTTATTTTAATATATGCTGATTTGGTGCTCAAGAAACATTTCTGTTTATTAATTATGTTAAAAACCGTTGTGCTGCTTATATTTTTTGTGAAAACCATGACACTCTTTTCAGGATTCTGTGATGAATAGAAAGTTCAGAAGAACAGCATTTATTTGAAATTGACCATTTTTGGTAACATTATGAATATCGTTTTTGATCAGTTTAATCTGTCCTTGCTGAATAAAAACATTATTATTTTAAAATCTTACTAACACTAAACTTTTGAACGACAGTGTACTGTATATGTAATATTTATAAAATGTTTGTCTTTTCCATCAGTTGTGATAATGTTTGTGTAACGTTCACGTGTTGCATATTTACTCTGTAAGTTGTTTCCAGGTTTAAGCAGCGTAAGGAGACGGAAGCTAAGCTGAGTGAGTTAATCATTTTATGTAGAATTATGAACTACCTGTAAGGCTGCACAGGACCTCCCATAGGGTCACGCATGCCAGTGTACATGCTGTGGAGACAATCAAAGTGACATTTTAAGAGACAGATTCGTCAGATCCAACAAACATTTTAATTTTTCAGTCAAATCATCTTTATTTCTAAAGGGCTCTATATAATACAGATTGCTTCAAAGCAGCTCCACAGTATTAAACAGGAAAACAGCAGAATCAATTATGGAAACTCATTATGTAGAAAAGTCAAATTCTATAAAATTACGATAGTGTCAACAATAACACATTTCATCATTTCTGAAACAAATTAAGCAGTTCTACAGATGGCAGCAATAATTCAGCCCTAGTCAGTTCAGTTTTGATACAATTCAGTTCAATAACACTCTTCAGCCACACTTATACATGCTAATTAATCATATGCTAAATGTTACCAGATTATCTGATAGTTAGCGTTTTGTCAATGGAGAGCAATGAAGAATTTAGTTAACACTTAAAAACACATTGAAATGCATTGTTTAATGTATCTACCAATATCATATATACTGCCCACATACCTGTTTGGCTCACGGGGTCGTCCATCAGTCATGCTGTCAACAGATGAATGCACACCACTGGATGGACTGAAGAGTGATGCAGAGAGTTAAATATTTAAAAAATGCATTAGGATATAGCAAATAAATTTTATAAACAAAACTAAAATCCAACAACTGCACTGATCTCTAATACAAAGAGATTGGTGGTTCAAACACATTCAGGATAAATTTCACCATAATTATAGTAGGCCTGTTATGTATATATATATATATATATATATATATATATATATATATATATATATATATACAGATAACATTATGACTAGCTGTAGTGATATCTAAATATATTTTAGAGACAGCTAACCACGTTGATTCAAAATATAACTAATCTTATCTAGGCTTTTCAATAATTTAACATTAACTATATACTTATAGGGCCGAGCAGGACCTCCCATTTGAGGATCACGCATCCCACTAGATATGCTGCAAATACAAAGACAAAGCAAATAAAAGACATTCAGACATTTTAATAATAAAAAAAAAAAAAGTTTAAACTGTTTTGAAAAAAAAAACAATCAGCAGCAGTCAAAATTATATTCACATAAATATAATCATCATTAACCAAAAAAAAAAAAAAAGAAAAGAAAAGAAAAAAAAGATGACTGTGGTCATCTAAATACCACAAAAATGTATGTGCATAAAGAGACAATACGGTGACCCGGGAGGGGACATACGGTTCACTTAGTTTGGTCGTGGCCACGAGATATTAATTTGTGGGAACGTGATAAAATGACAAGATCATTTTGTCGAGGTAACAACATCCCTAAACTGCGTTCACACTAGCATTTTAATCACGTACAGGAACTGCAGAGAGATCTGGAGAAAAACTCCGGACCCGGACAATCAGATAAAGGTGATGGGCAGGATGCTGCCGTTTTAGCGGCTCAGTGTTCTATTTTTATGCAGACCATTTACATCCAAATGTTAATTAATTTACACAGAACACAACCTAAAAATAGATTTAAGAATATAAACTGTTTGTCATCTATTTTCAGTAAGACTAAATAGAAAGTGTGCGCCTGCCATCGTGCGTTAACTTGAATCAAGCCCACAAATGTCTGTGGATGAGTAATTCACTCCTTGATCGTTTTGACATGTTTATTGTGCATTATTTTCAACTTGTTTATTGCCAAGTTTAGTGTGGCAAAATAGAAGCACAGCCGTATAGTTGCTTCCGCTGCTCTATGTAATCAGAGTGTGAATTTGTAGATTTACTATAGCAAAACTAAAATGTGTTTAAAGTGCGACTGACCAAATCGACCAACTCGGACTCTGGTACGGTTCGCAAGTGCGCACCTGAGTTCAGAAAACAGCGTTCAACATCATCCTAACGAACCCGGGTGCGCACCAAAAGTGCTAGTGTGAGTCCCAGGTTTTTACAGAGGGGATTTTGGATATCTCTTTTTGGAAATCTCTCACTCCATAAAATTAGGCAATACTGTCAACAGCCAGCCAGAAGAACGTTTATAGGAATAAAATGTTAAATACATTTTTCAAATGATAGTTTCAAATGTTAGTTGAAAAATAATAATAATATATATATATTTTTTTGTATTTGTTTTAAATTTTTTAAATGAGTAGATGAAGCGTAATTTGGATGTTATCATTCCACTAAATGAATAAATAAATATCACCTATATGGGCGGTTGGGCATGGCTGTCATGGGAACATGATCTTGTTGTACAGGTCTCATGTTAGGGGGAGGCCGACCCTTTGAAAGCAAGACAAAAGGCAGAAAAAAAAGAAAGATCACATGAACATGTGCATTTTAATAGTTAGCAGATCACTCAAGAAGCTAACATCGATACCTGTCAGGCTTAAAAATGTCTTATGCTCGGTTTATTATTTGTTGTGCTGTATTTTTATGAGTTCCAAAGGTATTTCCAGATAGAGCCATGTTTCTGGTTAAGATTATGGCAGCCCTGTGCTGCTGCTATGAATCATTAACTAGTTTACCATCAAGACACACACATTACGTTGACTCACATTAATATCAGAAGCAAAAGCAATTCCAGGGAACAAGTGCTGTTCTTTAGAGGCTGTCTTGGGTGTCGTCTTTCCTTCACTGCACACATGCACAGAGACAGAATTAATTACTTGTTAGATGTAACAATGACTTAAAGGTCCCATATTTTACACCTTTCTGGAGTTTTATTTTAGGTTTTGATGTCCTTAAGAATATATATTTGCAGTATAAAGTACCAAATACCATCTCAATATATTTTTACAGCTCCTTTCTCAGGAGCTCTGCTGAGCCTTTAAAAATAATTAGAAATGATTCCTGATCACCAAATCAGCATATTAGAATTACATTTAAAAATATATCCAAGTAGAAAATTTCATGTATTAGTTTTTACTGTATTTTAGATACGGTTTGATAAAGTACTTTTGATCTCTTATGGTGAACATAAGAGATTTCCTTAAAACAAAGATTACAAAATCTTACCAACCACAAACTTGAACAATAGTGTAAATCAGGTAGTCACACCGCAGGACTGATGAACATAGAAGAGGTTCAACACAAACATTAAATCTAATTAATAGTACAAAGTAAAATGTCCCTCATCCCATCTCAAGAGCCAATTAGATAATGTCAGTATATTTAATATTTCTATTTGTATTTAATATAAATTGATGCATTTCTGTATTGTATATTTCATGACGACAACAGCCACATCACTGGACAGTTTTCACAATTTACTTGAAACTGCTAAAAACGGCCAATGTCAAGTGCCAATATGAACTACCAACGTTTGAGTTTAAAGTGTTTTTAAAATGAATTTTAGAAAAATGGATTATAGTTAAAAAAGGAGCAAGATCAGGACTAGCAGGAGAGTCGGAAAAAAATCACAATGTGTTAAATTTAGATTCGTAAAAATGTATTTCTCACATTCATTATCACAAACGTTTTCCGAGTCCCTCAAACAGGATCAATACATCCCATAAAAATAATATGTAAAACACAACCATAAGAGCAGGACGAAATATACAGTTATGTGCAACACCATGATAACCACCAGGACATTTACACACAGAACATATGACAGAAGAGGAATCAGCATGTGTTAGTTGTCAGAATCCATGTCACTGTCTCCGCCAACGGATCTGAATTCTTCACTGTCCTCCTCATCATCACTGAGCTGTGCCTGTGTGAGAACACTAGGACCTCTTCTCCTCTCATCCTCCTCCTCCTCTTCTTCCTCTTCACTTATCCCGTACCCCTCCTCTCCATCTCGTTCTCCTGTCCTGGGGCTGGACACATGCCTGTGCATCTGACTGTCTCCATCATCATAGCTGCCGTAGCTATAGCACACAGGAAGTATAAGTGAAAGAGTGTATACAGAGATTTTATGAGAAGACATGGCATTTAATTAAATAAAAGAGCCACATTGCCTTACTGGCAATGGTACTTGGCCGGTCTTTACAACAGTAATTCAAACCAGGGCTGGTTTTAGAAGCATTGGCCTGATTTACAATTTGTGAGATTTTATTGTTGCTATGACATGCTTTAGAAACATAAATTAATTAATCTTTTATCAATTCACGTCAAGGAGAACAGTATGGATCGTGACTAGAAAATAGCTGACCGAGGGCATTACCAAGATGCCCCATAAAATAGCACAGGACTACGTATCAGGAAGTACTGTAAATCATGTAAAATTAACACTAAAACACTTATCGAAGTACAAGACAAACATTATTAATATTAACTCATGTAGTGGGCTAACGACTCTAGAATCCTGCAGTTACTGAAGAACAGTAGCATATCTATAACAGTGATACAAAACCATGACTTTATTTGAAATTACATCAGCTTTACTCAAACAAGAACATGCTTTTTTGGATGTATTCTGACCTGACATTGCTGTCCTCCATGTGCATTACCCCATCAGGTCCCTCCCCCTCGTAAGACATCATACTCTCTTCCTGCTCTAGTCCAATCCGGGTGCTCTCCTGATGCCCCAGTTCAGCATCACTGTCACTGCCACTCTCTGACAGTTGGATAGCTTCAATGGAGAGTAGAGTCAATATTACACATACAGCTATAATATCCCACAAATACTCGTATATACACGAGTACACACAGACTCACAGGAGAATGGATTATCGCCTTCCTCCTCACTGGCGTCGTCTTCTGCATCTGACATCAGCAGATCCTGGTAGAGCACACTGGCCTGTGCTGGCCGGCTGGAACATTCATCATCCTCCTCCTCCTCATCCCTATGCATACGCCTCTGTGGCCGCATGAGGAGCTCGTCTTCATCATCCTCCTCGTCTTCATCATCCAGATCACCCTCTTCAGCCTAGAAGTACATACAACACTCAAATCTCTGACACTGAAACATTCAGCTAAGCCATAGGCTTTTAACTTATGCTTTGAGTTAATACTGTATAATTGCTTGATGCATATTTTCATTTTGTTCACAATAATTAGTTCATTAAATCAAACAATAAGGGGAAAAAGGGGACTGAGGTTAAAGACCCCTGGATTAATTTTTGTTTTTGTTTTCACAAGATAATTACTGGAGCAGGTGTTTTAGGTTTGCCATCATCATCTTCCTCAAATCCTTCAATGTCCACATCAGACTCATCCTCGCCCATTCGGCCTCTGCCATGACGACCCTTAGGAACGAACACACAAAAACAAAGTTAAGAAAAGTGCAGTGGCACACAGAAGGAGAGGATCAATCAGAAAATGCATGCAGTAGAGGATGGACAAATGCAGGGATGGAAGGATTTTTTTTTCCAGTTTAGGGCTCTGAATATAATTTTTTTGCACATTACAACCTTAAAGGAACACTCCACTATTTTTGAAAATAGGCTCATTTTCCAACTCCCCTAGAGTTAAACAGTTGAGTTTTACCATTTTCGAATCCATTCAGCCGATCTCCGGGTCTGGCGGTAGCACTTTTAGCTGTAGCTTAGCATAGATCATTGAATCTGATTAGACCGTTAGCAACTCGCTCAAAAATGACCAAAGAGTTTCTATATTTTTCCTATTTAAAACTTGACTCTTCTGTAGTTACATCGTGTACTAAGACCGACGGAAAATGAAAAGTTGCGATTCTATCATTGCGCCTGCTGCACCCATAGTACGGCAGAAAAGTTCCTTGATTATTACGCCTGAATGAGAGTATAGTTCCTAGCCTATCAGCCTAGAAAAACGCAACTTTTCATTTTCTGTCAGTCTTAGTACACAATGTAACTACAGAAGAGTCAAGTTTTAAATAGGAAAAATATAGAAACTCTTTGGTCATTTTTGAGCGAGTTGCTAACGGTCTAATCAGATTCAATGATCTATGCTAAGCTACAGCTAAAAGTGCTACCGCCAGACCCGGAGATCGGCTGAATGGATTCGAAAATGGTAAAACTCAACTGTTTAACTCTAGGGGAGTTGGAAAATGAGCCTATTTTCAAAAATAGTGGAGTGTTCCTTTAAAGCATTCTTAAAACAAAAGAAGAGTTAATGGTTGAGACACTGAAACCACAACAGACTGGTCCCTGAAAGAAGCATTTCTGCTACATTCCTTTCAAATGTCACTATATTGTTTTGTTCTCGGCTGGTAAGAGACTCAATTTGAAGGAAACTTGACAGATTCTGAATTTAGCTCAATAAAGACCAGTTATACAATGCATCCTAAACATCCTTTAATAATGGATGGAGATGGATTAATCAAGCAGCACACAGAAACCATCACAGTACAGGGGTGGGTAACCCCATGGATGGATGGTGGGGTGGGAGGACATATCTAAAGGGGTAAAGCAAGTCAGCCAATAAAATGAATGATAAAATGGATGGACAGAGGAATGGATGAATGCAGAGAGGGAGAGAGGAATACCTGCCCCCCTCTTTTCTCAGGGGTGGGAGGGATTAGCGTAGCCTCAGCTAACAGACTAGAATCTCCCTGTAAGCTCACAGACACACTGTTCTCACACATATCAGGCTGAAAGAAAGAAAGGGAAGCATAGACAAACAAAAGGATAGAAAAGATCATAAAAAAAGAAAAAGCCTTAGACACAGAAAGACAAATAGGTTGCCATAAAGGGAGGAGGAAAAGGCAGGAACAGTGAGGAAATGTGAATCAAACAGCTGTGCAGTACAGAACGTTTGGATTATGCACAAGAGAGAGAGAAATACAAGCCTTCTGTTCTATTTCTGGCAGAATGCTGACATGCTTCATTTCACCTGCTACAAAATACACTTGAGACACCTGAGATCATGCCCTCAGTGTGATCTGTGTGTGTACCTGCGGCGTGTACGGTCCAGGGGTCAAGAGGTCTAAGCTCTCAAGGTCTGCAGCATCCAGAGCAGCTTCTTTAGCAGTAGAGATGTCCTTTTCCAGTTGAGTCAGGTGTTCGTCATACTAACAGACAAATACACATTAAACCTCTCAAGCTCAAGTCAAACAAAGCACATGAAAACAGCAAAGAGCTCACTCACTCACTCACTCACACACACACACAGAAACATATTAATGTTGGATTAATATTCATAACAATACTACAAATCCTAAAACATTTGAGCAAATGAGCACACAAATTATTTTAAACTGTTGACAAAACTTTTGGCAAGGTGACTTACAATGTGACATGCCATGCATTACATTACCTACAACCATTTTAAACAGTGTTTTGGTAGTTACATATAGTTAATTTATACATTATTATAAATAAAGCATGATGTATTTGAAATTAATTTGTCACACCACAAGTATTATTTTAGTATTATTTACAGTACATACAATTGTAGCATTTATTAATATTTTGAATTAGCTTTTATATTTACATTTACAGTTTTAATTTTAGTTATTTACAGCCACAGTGCTTTTGTCATTTTTATTAGTTATATATTTTATCAGTTATACAAATATATACCTTTAATCTGTATTTCAGTTTCAGTTGTATTTTAGTTTAGTTTTGCCTGGGCAACAACTCTAATCTTTGTTTTCTAAGTTTACGGTTTATATCTTTTTTCGGCTTTATTTCAATTGAAAAAATAATAGTTTTTAATAGTTTTAGTTAACTTTAACACTGACCATGGGCCTATATTAAAAGCTAGTGAAGGTCAAAGATGGTTAAGAGAAACATGTTATAAATGGCACATACACTTTAAAGTAAACTATATATTTTGAACCTCTTGTTCATATTCTGGCATTGATTAAAAATTTTTTTTGAAAGTTTACAAACACATTATCAGGGGTTAAAGCAAAAAAATTAATAAAATCCTGAGCCTGAACTTTTTTCCGGGGCTTGTGGGGGCGGACACATACACAGGGTTATTTGGCAAACAAAAAAGCACTAGAAACATATTAATGTTGGATTAATATTCATAACAATACTACAAATTCTAAAACATTTGAGCAAATGAGCACAAAAATTATTTTAAACAGTTGACAAAACTTTTGGCAAGGTGACTTACAATGTGACATGCCATGCATTACATTACCTACAACCATTTTAAACAGTGTTTTGGTAGTTACATATAGTTAATTTATACGTTATTATAAATAAAGCATGATGTATTTGAAATTAATTTGTCACACCACAAGTATTATTTTAGTATTATTTACAGTACATACAATTGTAGCATTTATTAATATTTTGAATTAGCTTTTATATTTACATTTACATTTACAGTTTTAATTTTAGTTATTTACAGCCACAGTGCTTTTGTCATTTTTATTAGTTATATATTTTATTAGTTATACAAATATATACCTTTAATCTGTATTTCAGTTTCAGTTGTATTTTAGTTTAGTTTTGCCTGGGCAACAATTCTAATCTTTGTTTTCTAAGTTTACGGTTTTAATTTATTGTTTATATCTTTTTTGGCTTTATTTCAATTGAAAAAATAATAGTTTTTAATAGTTTTAGTTAACTTTAACACTGACCATGGGCCTATATTAAAAGCTAGTGAAGGTCAAAGATGGTTAAGAGAAACATGTTATAAATGGCACATACACTTTAAAGTAAACTATATATTTTGAACCTCTTGTTCATATTCTGGCATTGATTAAAAATTTTTTTTGAAAGTTTACAAACACATTATCAGGGGTTAAAGCAAAAAAATTAATAAAATCCTGAGCCTGAACTTTTTTCCGGGGCTTGTGGGGGCGGACACATACACAGGGTTATTTGGCAAACAAAAAAAGAAAATAATTTTCCTTGAAACTAATTAGTAACGTATCTGCCATTGCCATTAGCCCTTGACAAACTCAGACTACAGATTATGGTGGGATATTTGAAACAGCAATACCAAGAAAGGTTACTCACTACAATATGGTGCAAGCACTTGTAACATTTAGGATGCTTTTGATATCAAGTTTTGCTGGTTAGCTTTGTCCTTGACAGGGTACAAGATGACCTACAATCTAAAACATGAAATTTCTGAAATTGTTTTGTTCAAAAGAAATAACGGTAAATTAAATATTAGGAAATTAATATAAAATAGGAAATATACAAAGACAGTTTACTACAGAAAACTATAGTTCAGTTCAAATAACAACAACAAAAACATTAAAATGGTCCAAGAACTGGTAACTTAAACAGGTTTGTACAGATATGATTGTATTTTAAAGACAACCAGTTCGAAAGGAGCATAGTTTGCTTTTTGTGTTAAAAGAATTTCTTGGTATGAAATTCGAATGGTATGACAATTAGAGATTAGACTGTACAGAAATTGAAATCTACATACACACTATACTCATAGTCACGCAATGCTGATGTTAACATTAATAATCTGAGAATAAAGAATAACAATAAAAATAATTTGCACAGTTTCAAGTGATATGAGCTAATCGATCGTTAGATTAAATCACCATTGGTAGCACGATTTATTGTAATGCTTTTTTCCTCAGTTGGTCAGAACAAACGTTGCAGACTTACTTGTTCAGATGACAATATACGGTGAACATTCATATTTGGGTCATATATTCCAAGACGTAGGCTAGAATCTGTGATTACTAAGTATATATCGGTGCAGTGACTGACTGCCACACATACTCCGTCCTCAAAACATTAGATTCAACGGCGCTGGAGCCCTGCCAGTGTACAACCCACGCAAGGAAGATAATTCCACAAGTAACTCCAATTCCAGGTTTTCAAACAGAGATGGCGACAAAGAGGCAAAACTTACGGACTGCAGCTTTAAATACATAATGTAATATGCCGGTTACGACACTTGCCCACCGAGTCACCGACCCCCACCGTCTTTTTGATTTTTTTATAGTAATAAAAATAATTTAGTTCAGTAAAAGAACAGACACTACAATTAAAAACTGAACGCGGCTGCTCAATGCAGCGTGCCGAACGACAGTCGCATCACAGATCAGATTTCATTTCTCCAGTGAGGAGAGTGAGTCGAGCTGACTGACAAGAAGAGTGGGGTGAGACAGACAAGAAGATGGCAGATGATTTAGTTTCGAAACTAGATGCAAAACCGCCTGTTTGGCAATATTTTTGATTTTGAAAAGCCTGTTGACTTTTGCCGTTTATCTAATTTCTTTATTTAAACTGTCTCATTTATTTATTTTATTTGACATTCATTTTGCTAATAAACGTTCTATGTTTCTTATTTATTTGGTTATATATTATACATGTTTACTTGTTTCCAGTTTTGTATACCTATTAAACTTTATGTAAGTTATTTGTTATTTTATATTAGGCATAGCTTGCCCTATAGCATGGTGTATTTTTATTTGTTCTGTTAATAAAAGTAATATGTTTTATATATACGCTAAAGTGAGTTTGACGTTGTATTTTGTTGTTGCATTCAAGCAATTGACGCCGAACTGCCGCTAATTCAAAAGTGAAAGTCTCGTGTTTATAAGAGCAAAAACTTCCGATTGGCTAGTAATGTTAGTTTGGTTGAGAGTGAAAGCTGTGTTCCTCTCATACATTGGTAGGCGAACTCATGAACTCGAACGTGATATCAAGTGTTTTTAAATGTAGGACGACTTTTTTTCCCAGCCAAACGCCGCACGCCGGAGATCCGGCACGGTGCCGGAGAACTTTAAGCCCTGCATTATGCATCAACTACCAGGTTTGTTTTACCTCTCAATGAGTTGCTTTCCAAGCACAATCTTGGTTCCTTCTACTTTAATAAGTTCTTCATTGTCATTGTGGATCACAGTCTTCTCGAGCTCCTCTTCCTGCTCCTCTGTCATTGCCACCGGATTAGAGGGTGGGGCATTGGTTTGGTAGTACAACGGGCAGAACTTATTGGTCCTCATATGGCCAATAGCACCACAAGCTCCACATTTCAGCTGTGGACACCAAAAACATTTGAATCGGTCTATGCAGGAAAATATCATGCGTTCATTTCATTCACAGCAAGACACTTTCAGAAGTTGTGTGAAACAAGGATCAGTGATGAGTAGGAGTGCATTTCTAATTTTGTACCTTCAGGTCTGGTCGTTCTTTGGCCTTCTTCGACTTTTTCTCAGGCGGACCTTTAAATTTATCTTTCTCCTGGTTTCGTTTGAGGCGCCGCAGCTGCTCCTGAATTCTTCGTCGTTCCTTTCTCATCTCCTCCCTGTGCTGCTCATCAAACAATGCAAACTTGCGACTACAGGCACATTCAGGGAGACACACAAACGTTATTTTTATTATTATTTTAACTTTTTTAAATAAAACTGTGTTTAATACTATATTATATATTAGTGAGTACTAGTATCAACTATTAAACTTATGGTATCACAATAACTCTACTAAGTACACAAATAGACACTTACATGAAATCATCATCCTTAGTGGTACGTATCCGCAAGTAAGCGTCAATAACAGATGCTTTGCGTACAGTCTCACAGCGCACATATTCTTTGCCATCCTCATCACGGAAGGTGCGATAAATTTTCAATCTTCGCCCTGTTGCTGAAGAGTTCAGGCTAGTGACGGAGGAAGCATCATCATCTTTGTGAGAGCTGGTGGAAAGGGCACTTGCTACAATGCACAAACAGATGCTGAGTTATTAGATACAGAGACAGACAACAATCTGGGTACTGAGTACTGACAAGCTCAATTTCACACACACGTACAGCCTTTGCGTCTTTCTTTGCGGCCTCTCTCTCTCTCATTGTCCTCTCCCATCAGCATCCGCTGCAGTTCTTTTCTCTCTTGTTCTTCTCTCTCTCTGCTCAGCTGAGAGCTGGTCTTCTTATTCTGCAGCATGTTCTCAATGTTCTTGCCCATCTCCTCAAAATCACTGTCCTCCGCTGAGCTGCTGTCCGTGTCCGTCGATAACACCTCTGTGGACTCCAATACTCTAAAACACAAAAATACACACAATGACTCATTTCACATACAGAAGAGCATTGTAAAATTAATCGAAATTAATTTTATGTAACCATTTTGATAACCCAACTGGTATAACCAGAGCTACTGCAAAACATTTTTTGAGCATGACTGTGCAGAATGAAAAGCCAAGAACCCTGCTCATTTCTCTCAGGTTCTCACTTGTTCTGCAGGTCAAAGATCCTCTGGCACTCCTCTTTGTAACGTTCCTGATGTTCTGCTACAGAGAATCGAGACCCGCGAGCAAATTTACTCATAGGCCCCTCCCCTGAACGAGCCTGTTCAGTAGACATGGTCCTCACAACGTCGATCACCTCCCAACGGGACAGTTTCTTTATCTAAATACACACATACATATACGTATTAGAGCATATAGAGGTTTTTTACCACCAATAAACATTAATATCATTAGAGATAAGGTTAATAATATTGAAAAAAACAAAACAACAACAACAAAAAACACACACAGCACATTCTCAGGCAACTATTAAGTGATTAGCTAACTCAGAGGTGGTATCTTTGATTAGTTTGTTAGTTTAGTGTCACCTCTTCCTCAGGAACTCCAAACTTGCGGAGCAACTGTTTGGCATTTTTGAGGGACAAACGTCTCAGATCAGCATCAGTCCCTGTCACTGTCTTTTTCACTGGCTGGGGCTCTCGATCATCCTAAGGAAAAAACAGGTAACACATTGTTTGAAACGTGGGTGTGTGGAATATTCTCATGCATCTGAAACATTTAATTGCCAGGAGTTGTGCTAAATGGGTCAGAAAGCACATACCTTCTGCTGTGTAGGTTTGTTAGGGACTTTAACGTATGAGAATCCTTCTCCACAGCCAGTGGGGTCAGCGACCCCTGTGACCTCCAGAAGACACTTCCCCTTCATGGCTGCAATGAACGCCCGAGTTGTGTTCCATGGGGCAGTGCGTACCTGATCATACCACCACATGAATATAATCAAACCATATAAAACTGACTAAATCCATCACAAATACAGTATTCAAATATACTCATTAAACCTCTGACCTCATCATCAATCTTCATCTGGAATTCCTCTTCATTCTCTTCCTCAGGTGCAAAAAAAGACTTCTCACCATAACCAGCATCCTGGGAGATAGAACAGTGTACATTAGCTGGTGTGGATCTGGAAGAAAATCATGCACATAGAGATATGAAGTTTGCATGTGCAAACCTTTAGTCTCTGCTCTGCCACCAGCATACTGTAGTATGCACAACACTGCTCTGGAGAGACCATCGCTCTGATCTCCTCTTCGGTAGGAAGCCGAAAATCAGGTTTTAGCACCCACCAGTTAGAATCCATTCCTGAAAGATTGTGCATGAAACAGCTTCAGTACAGGACAGAGGAGAGAAGTGTAACTGGACCTCCATACTCATTTCTTCCTCTCTAACTAGTTTTATCAGTAGTGAGTGACAAATATCTATGGTCAAATCTTGATGATTTTTTTTATTGTTGGAGACAAAAATTTTTTGAAAAATGCCAAGTGTGAAAAGTTTCTCATTTCTTTTTTATGGTATTCTGTGTAAGGCCTGTTTCACACAAACTGCATCTGTTATAAATGAATTGCAGACTCACATGGTGCTTTTGACACTCACAGTGTTTATGCTGCAGACCTGCATCTTTAAAAGAAAATGCAGTGAGTTCTGGGATACTACAATGAACTTCCTTGAATAATGGTCATAAATTATAAAATGGTTATTGGGAGTGTGTAATAAATACAAACTTGCCCATCATGATATCTGATTTACACCACATTTACATCTTACACAGAATGTAATCCAAACTGTGGATAAAAATCATCAAGATTTAGACAGATTTACAGCACAGACAGTTTGGATGTTTGGACTCCTGTTATTCTGTGTGGACCTCGCAACCAGTTAATATGGGCACAAGTGTGTGTGAAACAAGGATAAGGAAGAATTATGTTATCTGGTGCACTTCCTTATCAGAACTGTCTGTTCCTGTCCTACCTTCCCAGTACCAGGAAACGTACTTCCTGCATCTGTCAATTCTCCTTTCTGACAAAACACACACACAGTGACTGAAAACATCTTTCATTTTTTCTGAGTTTGACTTCCTGTTCTATATTCCTTGCACATTTAAAACATTTCATAATGAAAATACCAGTAGGTAAACTTTCAGCTTGTACTGAAAGTTAATCTCAGGATTTGATTTAAGATGAATGTGTGTGCATGATAGAGGGTGTAAGTGCACCTGTGCGTTTAAAGTCAGCACAGAGTTTGAGGCGTTTGCGGATGCTGCTCTCAGAGTGAGAGGGAAAAGCTTTCTTTATGTCCTCCATACGTATACGACGAGGACGATCTTTACTCTTCCAAAACAGACGATAGATGAACACCTACAGAGAGAGAGAAATTACTTAAATACACTCCAAAAAACACCAGAGGTTTTTCAAACAAGATCAGGATTTCAAACTTCTATAGGTGTCCCACAAGGCTCGATGCTACTGTAAGTAATTTGCACATACAACTGAAGATGTTAAATACACCAAGTAGTCGGCTTATATTACTACTCTCCTACGTAATCAGCCTTTACATTTTCAAAATCCTGAAATCCATACATTACTTCTTATCACATGTTAACACACAACTAGAATAAAATAGGAAGGCAGGGATGGGTGCCAGTGCTACCTGGAGGAAATCTCGAATGTGTGTGTTGGCTCGTTTAGAGTTGGGTCCTGGCACCTCATAGAGAGGGCACTCCTGACCCACAACAAATATGTCCACAAGCTCTCGGATGAAGTAGCCCTGCCTTGTCCGGATAATCAGGAAATCAGTCTCAGGCATCTTATGTAGGTAGATGGGAGCTCTGAACAAGTTATTTTCAAAGGCCTGTGACATACAACATAATTCATAAGGAATGACAATATAAGGACTTCAGCATGATGTGTTTAAGAAAACAAGCACTTGACACAGGGTGACAGAATTGTGACAAAAGTGTGTTTGTATGTTACCTGCAGTAGCTGTCCAGGGTGCAGTGATCCCAGGAATGGTGAAGTGTGACAGTAAACCGTCTCTCCGTACTTACAGTCAGGTGCTCCTGGGTCTTTACCTGGCTTCTATAGACAGAAACATTAACAATGCCATTATCAAAAGTGACCAGACTTGGATACCCAGATTCAGACCAAGACTTATTATTGAGACTCATGAGATGAAAATACAGATTAATGCTAGATCAAGGCCTCGTTCATGTCACAAGTCCATCAATGCATGCTCTATATCAACCCTCGCATAATATGACAAGTCACCATTAAATCTTCCAGTGGTCAGCTTGAATTTGTGACTTACTCTTTTGTAGTTGTTCTTGATTTTGGTCGCCATGCCAACTTGCATGAGAAGGGGAGGATACTCCTCGCTATATTCAGCCAAAATTAGGTCTCCGTCTTTGCCTGTCAGATCCTGAGCTGTGCGCATAAAAAACATGTCCCCTCCACCCGATGCCTGACGTTCCTGTTCTCGCATCTGAGAGATTTTTAAATATAACAAGACAAATGAAGAACAAGTGAGAACTTTTATAGGCCAATGTATATTACACACAAACAAACACTCAAAAACACACACTGAATTTATTGTTTCAGTCTACCTTAGCCTTCTTCTTGATGTGTTTGAGGAGAGGCTGGGCTGGGTGTGGGCCAGGCTGGGACAGCGCTCCAAATGAGTACTTCTTAAGGGAGGGTCGATGGAACTGCCGTAGTTTCATAGGTCCCATGTGAGTGGGGAAGAAGGGCTGCCTCAACTCATATCAACCCTCGCATGATATGACAAGTCACCATTAAATCTTCCAGTGGTCAGCTTGAATTTGTGACTTACTCTTTTGTAGTTGTTCTTGATTTTGGTCGCCATGCCAACTTGCATGAGAAGGGGAGGATACTCCTCGCTATATTCAGCCAAAATTAGGTCTCCGTCTTTGCCTGTCAGATCCTGAGCTGTGCGCATAAAAAACATGTCCCCTCCACCCGATGCCTGACGTTCCTGTTCTCGCATCTGAGAGATTTTTAAATATAACAAGACAAATGAAGAACAAGTGAGAACTTTTATAGGCCAATGTATATTACACACAAACACTCAAAAACACACACTGAATTCATTGTTTCAGTCTACCTTAGCCTTCTTCTTGATGTGTTTGAGGAGAGGCTGGGCTGGGTGTGGGCCAGGCTGGGACAGCGCTCCAAATGAGTACTTCTTAAGGGAGGGTCGATGGAACTGCCGTAGTTTCATAGGTCCCATGTGAGTGGGGAAGAAGGGCTGCCTCAACTCAACAGTAGGAATGGAGTGCTGACAAAAGAAATGTTGACAAAAAAAAAGAGAATAGGCAAAGCAAAATTAGGAAAGACGATTTCATTAAATCTATATTATTAAATCTATCAATTGTACTATTTGAGTCAGTGTTATTGGAAAATGGCACTAAAAATCTAATTTTATTAATGGACAGGCATTTTCTTGTTTCTGCCCATTTAAGGGTTCCATTCAGACAGACACACTTTTATGCACACACCGTTTTTAGAGGGTCATTCCATAGTGAGCTATGCACATGCCCAGGACATATAAAGGGCTGTTGGCTCACAGGGACCAGATTTTCCAGATCAGACTCGAACCAGGGTCCCCACTCACATCCCTAGTTTGAATGTCCTACCTGGATGATGTTTCCTCCAAAGGTGCCCCTGAGCCCCTGCTGCTTGGGGTAGTAGAACTCATCGTTTGACAGATTCCAAGGATCTTTAATCTCCGGTTGGGACATATTCTAGACAAGAGCCACACATGACACACATCATCCACTTTCCACATACTTGCTCTCTTTTCCTTACTCCACATCTTTTCCTTATCTTCCTCTTACCTGTTGAGGTTCATCTTTGATGACACCAGTCTTTCCCAACAGAATGCGACTTTTTTTCAGTGCTGACTCTTTCTTGTTTTCTTTGGAGGGTGAATGAGAGGCTCTCTCCTCTTTTTCATCTGGAATCTCTGTAAACACAGATCAAAGTCAAATTATAGGTTCCATGTACACTTGCATATTTTTGGTGTAGAAGAGGAATGGGAGGTTCCTCATGGTTCTGTTAATGGCCCTTTAATTTTAATTAAATCAGTGGTTCTCAACCAGGGGGCCAGTGCCCACTAAGGAACCTTAAGATGACCTAAAGGAATAGTTCACCCAAAAATGAAAATTATATCATCATTTACTCACCCTCAAATTGTTCCAAACCTGTATAAGTTTATTTCTTCTGCAGAGCAAAAAATAAGATATTCTGAATTACTATGGAAGTCACTGGTTACAGTCAAGTGTTTTATTACCAACATTCTTAAATATCTTCTTTTGTGCTCAACAGAAGAAAGACACTCATTCATTTTTGGAACAATTTAAGGGTGAGTAAAATTGTCCATTTAAAATTAAGACAAAACCAGCATTAAAAGAAACAATGTTGTGTGTTTTTATTTTACTTTAACCCTCAATTGTGCTTTTTTTCTTCTTTGAAGAACCAGTATTCCCATGGTCCTGGAAAACCTGAATATATGAGGTAGCCTAATTTTTAAAATGTGATTTTTGGAAGTTAATTAAATTTAAAAAATATATTTTATGTAGTAAAAATATATTTTTTAATCTTTATCCAAAATTTTTATCCAGCAAATCATAAAAAACTGATGAAGTCATGGGGCAATGAATATTGTTGTAAACAGTAGGGGGCCTTGGAGACAAAAAGGTTCAGAACCACTGTTGTAAAGACACAACTGAAGTAAGTATAAAATGTTACATTATAATACCGAGTATGATATTTTCGTCATTTGGGTCAAGAGTAAGAATAGGAGGAGAAGGGAGGTGGTCCATGCTCTGGTCATCCCAGATTATGTTGTCTTCCCAACGTCCATAAACAAGTTCCTCGTTATCAATCGGGAATATGGAGAACCACGGGATGTCATCCTCATGAGCTACTGTAAGAAGATACAAATTTAGTTTGTTCTATTCTGAGCCCCAAAGAGTGGATATGATTCATATTAACCTCACAGCATCTGCCAAACTTTAAACATGACCACAGAACAAACACAGGACAGTACCTTGATGATCATGATTATGTTTGTCCCTCTTAGAGCCTGATATGGATGGAGTTTTGACCAAAGGTGGTGGGGTTGAGGGAACCAACAGAGAATTACTGCGACTTAGACCTGGAAAACATGTATTCATTCATTCCACAGACCAGTCAGGGTGTGTCTATGAATATGTGTTTTATGTGATGCACTGTCAGTGTGGCCTTCTTCATTTTTTGTTGCATTATGGCTATGTTCTCTCACCCTGCTGAACGTTGTAAGCATTGGCGTTACGGGTCATGCTAGTAGGCAGCCACCCAGCCAGACTGGCACGCTGAGTTTTAGTGCCCTTGTGTTTCACGTCCTCTCCATTCCAGATGATGTCGTCCTCCCACTGCAGCTGGGTAACCATTAAAAACAACTCATCCTGCATCGGAGACACATCATCCTCCTGCTAATACACACAGACAGAAGCACACCCAAGATTAATTTAGCTGTAAGTTGTTACCATCACAACTTACTGTGCCTTTAATTTCATTGTGAATTTAAAAAAGTATACAAAACATTTCTACCTTCCTTATTTTGCAATGCAGAAGTAAGCTATTTTTAGTAAATGTGTGAGACACAATTCATTAATAGCTACATGCCAAGGCTGTGTTTCTAGCTTTCATTTCAGTTTTCTTTCTAATATTTATATTTTATTTCAGCTTTAATTCAAGTCATGAAAACTATTTTTGACAGATTTAGTTTTATTCACCAAAAACTACACTGACCTCAGCATGTGCTTCTTGGTGTGGTTCCTGTTCACTGACTGGTTCAGCAGCTGGAGGGTTAGCAGTTTTAGCCGCTGTTTCATTACTGTCTTGCTCTTGGTCTTCTCTGAGTTTAAACCCATAATAGAAGCCACAGCCATCCTCTGGGACACCAAGCATGTCATACCAAAGCTGTGCTGGACCATAACGCCACTCAGCCACCTTTGGCCTCATCTCAGACACCTTATCACCTTCACCAGATACTTGCAGGAACTTAGACTCCACTGGAGCCATCATGTTGATCTGCAGAGAGACAGACACATAGAAACAGACTGTCTTCTTTCTGATCTCATCATAACATAGGCCCATTTAATGAAGCGGCCAAGTGGACATGAAATGTTGCATATGCCTGGTTTACCTCATCATCAGACAGACACTGCTCCGGTGGTGGAGGTGGTGCATACTCATAATCCCATCCTGATTTTTTCTTAGCCCCTGGCTCAAGTGGCTGTGATTCATTATCACCTGTAGCCATGTCTGACTGTGGCTCTCTCTGCTTCCGTTTTCGTTTCCTGCGAGCACTTCGCCATACAGATGGCATGTTCTTACCAGGACCAAACAACCGCAAGAACCGCAACACCTAAACCAAAACATTAACACTCACCACGAAACACTGCAAGCAAACTAAGAATTTAATGCAAATTATTTCTAAGAGATATTGTGTAACAGTCACCCTTCCAGGTCTGAACTCAGGGAACAGCTCTGTGACTCCAGGCAGGGCTTTAGCAGCATCTTTCTGCATAATGCCCGCAAGAGGGAGGGTAAGACACCCTGCCTGTCCATCTGTCCCTGAACCCTGAGACGGTCGATCACTCTCACTCTCGCTGTCTGATGAACTGCTGAAATCAACCTTATCGCCCACAGATGATGGAGCGATAATGGAAGGTAGGATAATGCCATCACCCTCATCGGTCACTAAAAATGATAAAAAGAAATAAGAACAGCACACACAAAATTCAGACTGATTCCTCATCAATCACAAGTCTCATTTACCATTGCTGTTCTGAGTGGGCGTGTCTTCTTTCTTGGCAGGGGTTGGCTGACTAGGGGGAGGGGGAGGCGGCATGAGTTTGGCATCGACATCCTCACAGTCAGCATCGTAATCTTCCTCTTCATCTGCATACCAAAATACACACATCAGCAATGAAGTTGTGCATATACATCAGTGTGTTCGACACCAGTTGTGGCTGTGTGTACCTATTCTCCGTGATGGCTGGAGGTTGCCCATGGCCTGTCTGTATTTGCGGGTTTCATCTTCTGCAACTTCACTGATATCAGAGTAATCAACTGCATCTTCTGTGCTCCTTACCCATCCTATATTCACACACACAAATCCTACATTCACACACAAATCTGTTCACATGGAGTAAAGTTTTTTGAATTTCAGAAACACAGACAGACCCTCTGCGTCAGTGTTGCTCTGGTCTTGCTCTTGCTCAACTGTGTCCTCCTCACTGGCTGTGATCTCTGTAATAAGTGAACCCAAACCCAGAGAGCCCAGACCAGCCAGGTGCTTCTTTGACTCCTGATAGAGAAAAAGAGACAAGCATATATACAATATGAAGTTCATTATTCCTTTTAAGCCCTTCTCCACTAAGCGCATTCAGGACGAGAAATCTGTGGTTTCACTGGAAGACTGAGTTATGACATTCTGATTAAAATTTTAAATAATAATTAAAAAAAGATTAATAACATGCATTTAAAAATAGATATGGTGAATTCCCATTTCAAGTCATTGATTTCCTGCGTCAAGAGCAGGGATTTGCTCTCTTACCATATCCAGCACACTGTCATCTTCCAGCTGTCCATTCTCATTGATGTTTCCAAACAGAAACCCTGCTAGTTGGAAGGGCCGGTCCTGGTCCTCATCACTGTCAGAGTCTGACATCCTACACAAATAAAAACAACATATCATTCATCAACCCACCAAATCAGACTTCATGGATATTATCATTCTGGCACAGTCAGGTAAGCAAGTCATTTAGCAGTCACTTTTATTAGAACTCCCCTTTTGGGACTCAAACCTGTAAGCTTTTGGATTTGAGTTCTTTACCACAACACCCTCAGATATATAAAGCAAATTCGTTTTCTGAACAGTACATCACCGCAACACTGTTTATACAGAAATTACTGGAGTATACTTAATTTTCTGGCGACAACACAAGAGAACTAAGCTGTAGCAAAATAAAAAGAGGCGGTGTTTAGATTTTTTACTCTCTCACACGCCTCCCTCTCTGTTCCACTTTTGTTTCCTTTTACTTTTATGGACATTTGAAGACACGGTATGAAATCAGCATTATATTCTTTGAGAGTACGTACCTGCTCCTCTTTTGCTGTTATCCGGCTCGAAGGCCTCTGGGTCCTCAGGCTCGATTGAGAATTTGACCGAAGGAGGATCTCCCTGACCCCGGTCGATTAGCTGTTAGCAGATAGCGAAAAAGTAACGCGTGAAAGCATGCGCGCTAAACGTTCAAGAATATTATACGCAAGCTTAGTTCATTTAATAAGTAGATATAAATAACTCAAACTGCTTTGCTTTTGCAACGAATGCGCAGCAGCCACTGCTGCATGCGCGGGCTGTAGCAGATGTGTATTTTTCGTTTCTGTTTGTTTTGTTCAGAGCTGATCCTGACTGTTTGTTTGGCTCCCCCTGCAGGTCTAAAGATACAGCCAAGCAAAGGATAGTAGATATTCGCATATTAAATATTTACTGCATTTTCCTCTGTTCAGTTTAATTTGCAAAGCGAGGATACTCATTTAACTAAATTAAAATAGAACAAAGTAAAAGCAAAACTCCAGGAGGCTCAGAAATAGACATTTTTAATGAACTACAACGATATCATGGAATTACTTTGCAGTCACTTTTATTAGAACTCCCCTTTTGGGACTCAAACCTGTAAGCTTTTGGATTTGAGTTCTTTACCACAACACCCTCAGATATATAAAGCAAATTCGTTTTCTGAACAGTACATCACCGCAACACTGTTTATACAGAAATTACTGGAGTATACTTAATTTTCTGACGACAACACAAGAGAACTAAGCTGTAGCAAAACAAAAAGAGGCGGTGTTTAGATTTTTTACTCTCTCACACGCCTCCCTCTCTGTTCCACTTTTGTTTCCTCTTACTTTTATGGACATTTGAAGACACGGTATGAAATCAGCATTATATTCTTTGAGAGTACGTACCTGCTCCTCTTTTGCTGTTATCCGGCTCGAAGGCCTCTGGGTCCTCGGGCTCGATTGAGAATTTGACCGAAGGAGGATCTCCCTGACCCCGGTCGATTAGCTGTTAGCAGATAGCGAAAAAGTAACGCGTGAAAGCATGCGCGCTAAACGTTCAAGAATATTATACGCAAGCTTAGTTCATTTAATAAGTAGATATAAATAACTCAAACTGCTTTGCTTTTGCAACGAATGCGCAGCAGCCACTGCTGCATGCGCGGGCTGTAGCAGATGTGTATTTTTCGTTTCTGTTTGTTTTGTTCAGAGCTGATCCTGACTGTTTGTTTGGCTCCCCCTGCAGGTCTAAAGATACAGCCAAGCAAAGGATAGTAGATCGCATATTAAATATTTACTGCATTTTCCTCTGTTCAGTTTAATTTGCAAAGCGAGGATACTCATTTAACTAAATTAAAATAGAACAAAGTAAAAGCAAAACTCCAGGAGGCTCAGAAATAGACATTTTTAATGAACTACAACGATATCATGGAATTACTTTTTTAAAATTTGTCCGATGGTAGATTTTGGAAATAGCCCAGCAGAATGTTGGCTGTAACAATTCTCATTCTTGAATACCTTCATGTTCTCGGGTAAAAGCCTTCCACTGTATGGACAAAAATTTGGATAGCAGAATTTTCATTTTTAGATCAGCTATCACTTTAATGACTAAAATTATGTAATGCAATTGTGCCAACACAGATTGTGGCATTGGTTGGCACAGTGTTAAAGGCTATTGTTTCAAAAGTGAAGCAACAAACTGTATACACCAAACTAACAACTAACAAACCACTTCACACATTTGTCTGATATAAAAAATTTGGAATGCTTAATTTGCACTTGCATGATCAAAAGTTATTGATTAATAATCAAAATAGTAACATTCTTAATATTAACAAATTATTCAATATTTTTATGATTTTACCACTTTCTACTGAGATGTCTTTTAATGACATTATCCACAAATTCAGGATTAATTATTCTTATGTTACATATTCCAACTAACCACTTTTTTCAGTCATATATAGGCCTGTCGCAATAAATACTATATCGACTTATCGTGCAATATAGGCTATGTACATGACCTCAATAATTTTTGGTGACGCAATATATCGCACATTATATTTATTTAAAAATTAATTTCCCCATGTTTTGTACGTTCCACTTGCACCTGTGTCTTTTGCAGCTTCTCGTACATAACGTGGTGTAGTCATGAGGTGCTAGTTCAACTTTAAAAAATGCTTCTACAAACAAAGTTTCATCTGCAGATATGGTCATGTTTAGTGATCTGTGTCTCTGTGCATACGGACATCTGACTGCTAAGTAGTGATTGTGTTTTTCAGCAATAGTGTGCACCCTTAATTTACAGAGAAAAGAAGGTCAGGGACAAATCTGTAGATGGAAATATCTCCATACAAGCTCTTTGTGCATTTTTCTTTTTTCTACTTTCTACTTTGCACTTTTTGTTAAAAAATGTTTATTTACTATTTATTCAGGTTTTTTAAGGTATCTAGTATTTTGATACTTAATTTCCATGATCTAAATATTCTTAAAAATGAAAAGTTTGTTGTCATTTGGAAGCGTGTAGGCCTTCTTGCATTATTATGCTGTTACATTAAAAAATGGCAATAATATCACTTACAACAATTATTTCTGGGGCAATATATCGCACAACAAAAAGTTGTTATCGTGACAGGCTTAGTCGTATATCAACTATAAAATGAAAATATATGAAAATATAAATGGATTCCATCTAGGGCCGTGCAATATATCAAAATTATCGAAATATCGCAAATGTACATATCGCAATATGCATATCGCTACAGCTTGCAATATTTGGGGCCATGAACAAAAGACAAAGAGAAAATCACTCACTGCTCTTACCTAAATAACTTTTGTAGCTTAAATAAGAATCAATGCATATTGAATTAGAGTAAATTCTACTACGCAGTGTTTTATTTGAATTTTTTATTATTCAGTTCCTAAACTCATGTTAAAATGATTACACTAATGTTAAAATGACATTTTTATGTAATGCTCGAGTAAAATACTACCGTTCACTTTCAGAAGTTATTGTAGGGGTGCTTTCTTATTAGAATCACAATCAGAATGAGCTTTATTTACCACTTAAGTGTGCGCAAACACAAGAAATTTGTTGTGGTTTTAAAGGAACTCTTGGTACATACATACATACAAATAACCATATATGAGACAAGATAGTTATAGAAGTTCACAGAACTGACTCAGCAACAGCTGAGTAAAACTGTTTCACCTGAGCATGTGGCACTTTAAGCATTATCGTGCCGCATATCGAATATCGCATTATTTAATGAGTTATCGCATTTTTCTTCAATATCGCACAGCCCTAATTCCATCTTTATTAATTAACATGAATAAAAAAAATATAAATATGTTTAAGCTAATTTCATAGCCTTTTTTGCTTTAATCTTAAAGTGGTTTGATGGAATCAATTGTGGGTTGAGAGACCAAACACTAAAATGTTACATCATCCATGAACGTGAGACATGGCGTTCTAAAACAAATGTTAAGCATTCAGACCTAAACATTAGATCATTACTCTAACAATGCCTCAACACAAATCACACATACACAGCTGATGGTTTTGTTTAACTGTGAAAGCATTGTAAAGAATGTCAGAGAGATGCAGTTGTTCTTTCTTTCTCATACCCTCTTTCTCTCTGCATTTATGCAGAATGTCATAAACAAATCTGAGGTCAAAGAACAGAAGCCAACCATTCTGTTTTACTTTAAAACTGGTTTATTTTCTCATGCAAGTGGAGGTATATTCTTAAAATAATGACAGTTTCAAAAAATAAAAACAGCTTTAAAAAAAAAAAAAAAAAAAAAAAGGCCAATTGTTGGTGTGTTATTGATGTCCTAAAAACAAAATTGTTGAGAAAGCAGCCTTTGGCCCAAAAAAACAGCTGATGTTTATCATATAAAAAGTAGACATTCAATATATAAAATGTAAATGTGGACCCAAATGAAGCCTAAACCTGAATGTTCCAAGTCTTTTTGTACATTAACTACAGTCTGGATGTTTCATTGTATAACGGAGATGAAAGACGGAGTGTTTATCTCCTCCATCAGTTCTTATTAGGGCACTTCACTGGAGTGAATCAACATTCATGGTAAAATACAAATATTAGTGGCACTTCATTTTCAAAAACAGGGTTGTAAATTGTGAGGATTCAGGCACAATGATCCAAATACAATGATCTTAATTTCTACCTCAAGAGTGTTATAAAACAGCACTATATCCCTTCATTTACAGCTCTTATAGAAGGCAGGTGAGCTACAACAGCTCTCTGTAAACTTTCAGCAGCCCTTTCCAGCAATAAATGTCAACTGGCACTCAAAGTAGCACCCTAGATGAAATGAGCAGAGAGGAAGGAGTTTATGAGATGTCAGAGAAGGGGCCAAGCACTAAAGGCACACTGGGATTCCACAGAACTTCCTGATTTAAAAGTCAATCAACCCTACAAAGGCAACAATACAAGACAAATGGCATGTTGTGGTAAACGTAGGTCATCAAGCCTTAGGATCACACATTAAAATACCATGCATATCAAGTGAATTGTGAGCCCTCCTAATTATGTTACTGATGCGGTAAGGGAAAGACAGCATCTTCATAAGACATCCAGTCTGAATTTAGACTGAATTTACACTTTGGTGCATGAAATATCCTCTGAGTGATTCCTAAAAAAATGCTGGAGTTTTTAAGGCCTTATAGGAAGGCAGAAGTCGTCAATGCCTGTAGTCCTTCAGACAAATCCACTCCACTGCCCTGGTCTGCCTGATTTAAGATTACAACACCGTATTTATGTCTTAGGTGATATGTACATAAAGTTAACGCACAAATACACAAGCACACACATTCTCAGTCTCTCTCATTAACAGTATGTGCACCTATTGCTAACTGTAGTGTAGAAATACGAACAAAAAGTGGTAGCAACACACATTTGCAGAGACGATCACATGACACTTACATACCACCCTTCATAAAATCTCTCTCACGCACACACCCTCACGTAGTTATAACAGCACACATTTCTTGGCATGCTTCTTGGCATTGGGGTAGAGAACGGCCCTGACTGCTTCGTTGAAGACCTCTCTGACCCCCTCCTGCAGAAGGGCTGAACACTCCAAATATCGCACCGCACCAATGCTGCGGGCCAATGCGCTGCCCTGCTGCGGAGTGGTTGGACTCATCCCCTGCTCTTTCAGCTTCTCCAGAGTCTCTTTGTCCCCTCGCAGGTCTCTCTTAGTGCCTACCAGCAACACAGGCACACCAGGACAGTGGTGGCACACCTCCGGGTGCCATTTATGCCGGACGTTGGCGTGAGAGGAAGGGCTGGCCACAGAGAAACAGATGATGAAGACGTGCGTCTGTGGGTAAGAGAGGGTTCGCAGGCGGTCGTATTCCTCCTGACCGGCCGTGTCCCACAGGTTGAGGCTGACGGCACGGCCATCCACACAGGTCTGAGTGCTGTAGTTGTCGAAAACCGTAGGAATGTACTCGTCTGGGAAGGCATTAGTAGTGTAGGAGATCAACAGGCAGGTCTTTCCCACTGCACCATCACCAACAACAACACACTTTATGGTCTGCATTTTGTTGCCTGGCACAGGGGTCCCTGAAAAAGAGAGATTTCATAACTCACTATACATGAAAAGCAGCAGTTAAGACTACTATACAACAGGGTAACTGGCAGTTTGTTCGTATAAATATTAGTTATTTTTACGTATGAGACCTCTGCAAGCAACAAAGACCCAAAACAAAGTAATAAATCTGTTCAGCTAGTACGTTAGCAGCTGATCCGCTAAATAAAAACGGCAATTATGAGACTTAGTAAGGCAGCACCATATCACCGTTGCTAAAAGTGTATTTTTAAAAGTAAAACTCACTGTGTTTGGGTGGTCTGGAGAGCTGGATGAGTGTTTGCTTTGAGCTGCTCAAGTTTCCATCATCGCAGCGGCAAAGGCGCTTTGCTAACCGACTAGCGGATGAGCCTCATATTAATCAGTTATTAAACATAGACAAACAACTCCCGGAGGTCTCTAACTACGCGTAACAACTGAACAAAACCTAAACACACGTACGAAGTCTCGAAATACTTTCAAATGAACATCATTTGAGGTAACTAAAACAAACTCTTCTATGTGATTCGCAGTCCTTTTCTCTCACTGGCTCACTCATTCTTCAATTTACGGCTAACGGAGACGACATTGGGTAACACGCCCATGTCGCAAAGGCCTGTGGGAAATGCAGTATAGTTTGAGAGTAAAAAAGCTACGAATGTTTGCATTTACATTTATGTAGTCATAATTTAATGTAATATTAACACAGGTATGATCTGATTTACGCTATTGATTTACTAAACGTATTATCTTTTATATTGGTTTAACGCGACAATGACAATATATTCTAGGTGTCTTTTTACGACTTTATCCACATACTGTATGTAACGTTAGGTCTCGTGTAATTAAAACAATGTGAAGGGTCGCGCTTTAACTTTCGGGTAACGGAGACGACATTGTGGACCACGCAAGGCAGGTGGGAAAATAGCGGTGCTTGGTCTTTCATGCTGACTTATGCTGTGAATCAACTAAACCGCAATTTTAAAAAAGTAGCCTACTGCATAAAAGTATTACACCAAGAACAACGTGTAATTTGCCAATTCAGAGAGTATAAGCAGACTGACAGGGCTAACGTCAGAGTTATGAATTTTCACCCAAGTATACTTCTTCGATGGTGTTGTATTTTATATAAATTTCAGACTTCAATAGGCTAATGCACGAGAATTACAAACATTTTAATTACTTAAAATATATAAAAATCATATTTTGTATTTTGATGTAGCAGCTGTGTTGTCATATAGGTGTGCTAAAGGTATTTTCCGGCTCTCTCACCTATAAGCTGCTTTTCTGTGTTTCAGAGTGTGGACTTTACCCCGTCCCATCCTTTCCTCCTTTTCATCTCCCATCATGGGCTATCAATACAGTCATAAATTCCCACAGTCTATTTACAGTATTTTACTGTCCCATAAGCCACACGAAGCATTTCACTTATCATTTATTATTATTATTAAAGTTGTTGATCTGTCTGGAACACTATTGTCTGTCATCATAGGTATAAAAGTAATATTTCTAATATCACTTCTCCAGAGTGAACGGAATAAGACGTTATGTTTCATTACGCAAGAATATACACGGCGTGGCAACAAATGACTATGACTAAAAATGACTAAAACATCAGCATTGTTTACCGGTAATTTACTTGTACAGCTAGTCTGCAGATGCGACTTCCATTACAGGATTATAGTCAGCCGTCAGGAGCAGTGTACATATACTCTCAGCCGGATGGGGGCGCCAAATCACAGCGTCTTATCACTCTAACTTCACTATCGACCAAAGTAGACTGATAAAAACTTCCCGTAGAGTAATAATGGCGACTTGGGCCAGGTTAGGCGTTAGTTTGCGGAGTACAGTCAGACGTTTCTGGCCTCTCAGAAATACAGGGTATGGTCGTGCTGTTGGAGCGGGTCTTCTGGGCTCTGTTGTAGCAAGCGGTTTTATTCACTATGAAAATGAACCGCGATGGAGACTCTGGCCACACATCGTGTACGCGGAGGACGCGAAGGTAAACAAACTTTTCTAATCAGAGACAACTTTTCAAATGACTTCTCAACTTCCTCGAGTGTCATGTTGTCTGTGAAGTTAAAGACTTAACGGGCGTACTGTCATGTCCTTTGTTTGTTCGTAGAGTCACTATGTTGATACAGTCATCCGTTAAAAGTTTAAGTATTGAAGTGGGACCGACTGATATTTAACGTTACATTATTAAACGGGTTTACGCGTGTTTTATTGAAGTGTGTCTAAACTGTAGCCTATGTAGAGTCTTAGTAAATCCTAATATGTCTTCTTTTGCAAATGGCTGTTTATGTAGCTACATATATTTGAGATAGTTTGGATAGTAACACTGTTGCCATCACATTGTAGGTGGAGCTCTGTCTGTGTAGTGTCAGAGCAAACTGTAGCTACTATGTGTCAACTAGGAACGTAATTAAATGTATGGTTAATGACTCCTTGTGTAATTAAAATCTGTAAAATCTACAGAACTAATTTAAAGAGTAAGATGTTACAGTCAGAGCCAGGAGTTCATTATTGAAGTTAGAGATGCACGATATATCGGCCACCATATCGGTATCGGGCGATAAATGCACATTTTTTCTGTTATCGGTATCGGCCTGATAAGAAAATTTGGCCGATATCTTAAAGCCGATAAATAATGCATTATTTCCTTCAGAGACACTTCAGATGCGCGCTGTTCGTTTGCAGCCTTTTGTGCAATTGTACGTTGTAATATTGTGTTTATTTGATGTATATCTGATTTATCTCATATAGAATGCATTTGGTTAAGTTAAAAGAGCGCTTCAGTTTACCGGTGATAAACTCAAACAGCAGTGCACAACATTAATAACTATGATTGGGAATGGTTAATATCCATGACCATGACCACATATTGCTGTAACCATAAAAATTCAATAAACAGCTTAAACATTTTTAAGGTATTCTTATGATAACAGGTGTTTTATTCATTTTAAACCATTAAATTGCTGAAGAAAATCATATATTTTTAAATAAATTTATTTAATAATTGTATTGCAAAAGAAAGTAATACACAATGTCTCTCCTGCAGTATTATTTTAGTATTTATATATTATAATAGAATCCTTTGATATTTTAAATTAGTTTTACTTTTATATTTATACTTTACATTTTAATTTTACAGTTTTAGAATTTTGTTATGTGCAATTGTCTTTTTTATTAGTTTTTAATATTTCAATTTAACTTTAAGTTTAAAACTAGTTTAAAACTTAAACTTAAGTTTTCATCTTAGTTATTTCAGTTATTTGTCAAGGCAACAATTACAATTTTTAATCTTTTAATTTTTTCATCTAATATTTATATTTTATATTAATTTAGCTTTTTTCTACTAATGAAAATCATTTTTAATATTTTATATTTATAGTATTTTAATATGCGTTTCATTTGAGTTAATAACATTACTGCTCCCCTTCTTGCCTCCTGCATAATGTCATGTAATGGCACCGACTTTTTGTTTAAAAAGGCACTGAACTTTCCAGTTTCAACATTATTTCAATATACTGCAAAGAAAATAATTCATAATTCTAATGTTTTATAATTATAGAGTCCAAGTCTAGCTCTAAATAGAGTAGAGGTGCACTGCTCATAAATAAAACATCTGCTATTTCTCTGCATTTTTGTATATCTGTAAAGAAAGAGGAGATCGCCGTACCACCAGTGTCCATGAGACGCCTGCGGTTTAACCAGTTTGCCTCCATGATCTATGAAGAGGAGCCATACATGACACCCAGAGACTTCCTCCATTCAGTCATGATGGAGAAGGTGGACCGTAAGTGACATACTACCATATGGATGTGCGAACACAAAAACAAACAAACAAACACTAGGCAGGCAGTATTATGTATAAATTAGTATGTGATATTGTGCTTGCATTCTTATTCTATTGGACATTTGGGCTACAATTTATTTTAAGGTGTCCTTTTGAAAGTGTAATTACACAAGTAAATACTGATTAATATTCATTAAAAACATGTACTTACTATATGGTTTGGGTGTGGTTTAGGGTTAGTTGCATGTAATTATGCATAACGTACTATTATTACCATAGTAAGTACATGGAACATGTGTAACAAGGACACTGTAAAATAAAGTGGTACCCACATTTGATAAAATGTAAACTCTTTATGAGGGCTGTTATCAACAAAATTCTCATAACATGCATCTTATCAAAGCAATCTTACAGCGAGAAACCAGACAACACAAAGACCCTAAAATGCTGACATGTACGTTCTTCTCATTTATATAAGCATGTTTCTGGTTTGAGTGTGCATCTGAGTGAAAATGCTGTTTATCTGGTACTAATCATCTCTGCATGTTAGGCCTTGCATTCATAAAGTGGGCGTAATGTAATCCAAGATCTTTTCAAACACCACAACACGCCTCAAAGCTATTTTTCTGTTGATTTTCACTATGCTGCAAAATATTGTTACAGAAATCCTTGATCTTTCTCTCTTACAGGCAAACTACAGAAAAAGATGCTGACTAAAGCAGTAAGTGTGTATGTTAGTTCACATGAATGTTACTCCATACACAAAGAGACTTGTTCTAAGTGAATACTGTTATTATATGATCGTGACGTGTATGATGTGTGATTTTGCTGGAAATCTCACTGACACAGTCAGAGTTTTGCCTAATATCTGATTGGTCCATGGACAGGATGTGGATGGTATGATAAGGGTGGCTTCCAGGGCTGAGGCAGGAAACAACATGTTCAGAGGAATCGGAGACAAAGGTATACGTTAAGCAAACACATGCCTCACATATGCCAGAGTCTACTTGCAGTAAGTGTGTATGTTAAGTGTGTATGTACAGTAAAGTACATGTGTTAGTGTGTACTAACTTCCTCTCATTGAGCAAGTGCTGTAATGAAAACCTAATTTTTAAAGTGGTATGGTTTATAAAAATATTTCTATTTACATAATTGAGTGATTTAATTAAAAATATTAACATTGAATATCTCCTGAACCATTGTTTCAGGGCTGATCTCTTACACAGAGTACCTGTTTCTCCTCACTATTCTCACAAGTAAGTATTTCCTAACCTTTCCACATAATTTCATACACAGTGTCCTATCAGTGCCAGTCCAGAGTCTGTATGTCACTGCTTAGACTTCTGTGCTTTTAGCTGCTTGATTATCAGATGGACACACATTTTTAGTCATAGTGATTTGTAGACAAAAATGGACACGGAGTTACTCATTTTCAGCAGGACTTGTTCTGTACTTCACAATTTGCAGTTATTTTTGTGACATTCCTGAGGTCTGATTCTTTGACACTGTATCAAAATAATTCTGCACCGTTCTGCACCACTACTGAATCAACAGCATCATGGAAAAAAATAATTTTGGCTGAGATTGCAGTCTGAATTGAAATGTGATAAGGAAGAGTGACTGGCTGCTGTGAAATAATACAAACACTATAAATGGTCCGTGCATCATTGTACTAACTGATTGCATGCAGCATTAAACATACAGCATGAGCATATAGTCTAGTTTGAATTAGACATTTGATGACTTGTTTTGTGACAATTAAAAATTGTTGATAAAATCATTAATAGAAATCAGAATATGTCCTTACGATTCTCATTCCTTTCCCAAAAATTCACAGAAGACAGGTAGGAAGAAAATTGACTCACTGTATAATCACGGTGAAGTTTCAGCACTACAATTTATTGTTCTTTACCTGCTTGAATACAATCAAAGATGATAGTTGGTCTGCACTGGAATCGATGTACAAAAAGACACATTCAAATAGGCATGTTTAGAGCTCTATGTTGGTTTTTGATATAAAGTTTTCCTATTTTAGTGACAAATCCAAATATATTACATATTGTACATGTGCATGTTCACTCAGTGCTTGCTATGAAACTATACTGGAGTTACCATAACATCAAAATTATATCACAGTTATATTAGTGATATTGACTGACATTGATCTGCAATACACCAAATCATCTCATTAATTTGCTTTATACTCATCAGTTTTCCCCCATGTAGCGATACGTTTTGCGCGTGTGTGTGTGTGTTTGGTGGTGGGGGTCTCTTTTGCTCACTTGAGGGGTCACAGAATATTCCAGAAAGTCGGTATCCATTGCTTTACTCAGTTTAACTGCACTGTGATTCCAGAACCTCAAACAGGATTTCATATTGCTTTCAAAATGCTTGATATTGATGGCAATGAGCATGTGGACAAGAAGGAATTTCAGAAGGTATGGAATGTCTTTTCACATTGGATTATATGACACTGTTTTTCATTTACACTCAAACTGATAAGTGTAAATGTTGTTTAAAAACACTTTGTTGTAAATGCGTATAATTATATGAAGGTGTGCAGAACAAAGAAAGTTCTCCTGACTGGATTTTAAAAATTCTGGATTGTAAGTAATGTGGTCATTAGGGTGTATCTGCTTTGTGTTTCTGTTAATGCTGGCATGAGATGAGACCGATGTGCAACAGGTATGTGGGAATGGTTGATGCATGATTGGTGCATGATAGGGGCATCAGAAAAATGCATACATTATTTAGAATTTAGTTGGATTTAAATGTTGAGTCTATTCACATGTATCAGTGTGCCATGTTGTCGAGGTCTAGGAAATTCACTAAAGCTGGAAAAAAAAGTGATGTGATGTGTAGTCAAGTATGGTGTCCCATACTCAGGATTTGTGCTCTGTATTTAACCCATGCAAGTGCACACACACAGCAGTGAGTAGTGAACACACACACACACACACGGAGCAGTGGGCAGCCATTTTTGCTACATCACCCGGGGAGCAGTTGGGAGTTCGGTGCCTTGCTCAAGGGTCTCACCTCAGTCGTGGTATTGAGGGTGGGAGAGAGCTCTGTACATTCACTCCCTCACCTACAATCCCTGTCGGTACCGAGACTCGAACCCACAACCTTTGGGTTACAATTCCAACTCTCTATCCATTATGCCATGACTGCCCCAAGCAATTTGAATAGACTCATAATTTTCTTTAGGGTAGATATAAATATACATCTCACGGTGGATATACATCCCACTGTACCTTAACACACAAACATATGCATAAACACAAGAGAATAAGGGTGAATAAGAGTCAGTTATTTGAACTTTGCTCTCTTTTTTGAAGCTGAAGAAAGTAATTCGACCAAGGAAAGAGCTTCTAAGGCAGGATAGGACAGAGGTGGGTACATGATGTGTGCCTAGTTGTGTTTAATATCAAAGTTCTGTTGTATTGAATATTTTATTGTTGTACTGAATAGCTTTGTCTTTTTCTTTATAGCTTTCAGACAGTGTTGATGAGGTCAACACTACACTACAGGTGTTCTTTTTTGGGGGAAATGGCAAGGAAAAACTCCAATACAAAGATTTCTGCAGGTAAAGTAATTTTACACCAAATTCACACTACCTGTGTTTACTTTAATATGTTAGTGTCTGTATGATATAAACTATAATTTTCTTCATGTATGCTACAAAAATAGCATAATTGATAGAATTTCCAAATTAGGATGTTTTTTTTAAATGTAGACAATAGGCATGAGATTAGCAGAATACAGCAACATGTACTTCAGACCTCCAATAAAAATAAAAAATAAAAATCTATTGAATATTAATAGAATATATTAGAATATATTATAGAATATACATTGTTCATATAAGTATATAAGTAAACCAGCTCTCTAACTACAACTGATAGGACACTATCCTGTGTTTCAACTTTTGCTTAGCCTTGAGAGATATATTGCAATGATTTTATTTTTGGTTTTGTGTAGGTTTATGGAAGACCTGCAGGCAGAAGTGCAAGAAGTTGAGTTTCTGCGGTTTTCTAAAGGGATGAAGACTATGAGGCGGGAGGACTTTGCTGAATGGCTGCTTCACTACACCAATGAAGAGAACAATGAGGCATACTGGGAAAACATGAAAAAGAGGATCCCCACTGGGCAGGTAGCATCTTTTAAACACTAACATTGATAGTCCTGAATATTTTTTAGCATATGTGCTGTTTAACACAAACCGACTTGGATAAAGTCTGATCTTAGGTCATTATTTATAGTTTGAGAGGAATAGATTCTAAATGTAAATAATAAGTGGCTAAGAATCCAGTGGCCACTCTTCTGAGATTTCCAACATATTGATGAAAAATTGTGCTCCGTGCAGCTCTCCATCAGTCATATTTCTAGAGTAGAGTGAGCAAATCTGATGTCACTCCTGAGTACATGGTATTTACAGTCCACCTAGAGTTAGACAAATGGCATGTAGAGGACTCTAGAGCCTGCTGACCTGTTTGCCATGTGCCATTTATGACGAAAACCATCACCTGGCTAAAATGATATCAATTGAAAAGCATGGTTTTTTGCATTACATTGTACATTTGAATTGTAAAATAAAAGTAAATGTTATCAACACCAGAAGTGTTATTTGAAATTGTACATTCATAGCATCCTGTCGAAGTATTATAACTCCATAATGTATATATAAAGTTTCTGACTTTTTTATATATATATATTTGTCAGAGCATCACCTTTGATGAATTTAAAGCATTCTGTCTCTTTACCAACAATCTGGAGGACTTTGCCTTCTCAGTCAAAATGATTAATGATGCCAGCAGGCCAATAGGAATGGGTAAGACTGATCTGGATGCCAGTAGTTATTAACTTTTAATAATAAATAATTGATTGTCCTCAATCTATTTTTTGACCGGTCAAAATTGTATTGATTGAGTAACTGAAATGCATAGCACTCTCCCTCACTTTTTTTGCTCCATAGCTGAGTTTAAGCGAGCAGTGAAGATAGCGACAGGCCACGAGCTTTCAGAGAACGTTTTGGACACAGTTTTTAAGATCTTTGACCTGGACGGTGACAACTGCCTGAGCCATAAAGAGTTTCTCGCTGTGATGAAAGACAGAGTACTTCGTGGACTCAGGGTGAGAAACATTTAGCTCTTTTAATTGATAATTAATTATTAATTTCCATAGTTTCATTTAGCTAATTTACAATGTTATGGTATTAATCATTTGTTAAATATAATTAGTGTTAAAAATGGTATTGGTACTAAAATCGGACATAAATGCTAATGTCTGTGCAAACAACAATGCACATGATGGACAATAATTCAAAGAGCAATTATAGCCAAATCTTTTGACAGTAGTTATTAATCTTTGTGATTGCGTATAAGTGGCTCAGCGCAGTAACCGGTAGACTTACTGTAGATTGCACTTGTGTGTTGTATAGGTTCAGCCCCAGTATGGTATTTCTGGTTATTGGAAATGTGTGAAAAGAGAGACACTGCAAGGAGCTCAAGAGGCTCTCCGTGAAACCGGCAGCCCAGTCTGACACAGGAAGAGGTCTGCCTTTGAGTGTGTGGCTGGTCAGTTGTGGTAATACTTGCAATTCCATATAAGTCTGGGGAGGAGAATGGTACATAATTAATTGCAAGCACCAGGGATTGTTAGTTGTACTGTAACATTTTTATATTAATATTGTTTCTTTTTTATGTTTTGGGCCAACAGCTACATCACTTCAAAAGCAATATTTTCTTTGGACCATGTAAACATTGTAAAGTTTACTGACTAAAGTAATTAGGATTGGTGATTTCATGTTATGAGCTTTGTTGTGTGATATGTTTTTTTTTTAATTTGTGAAATTGCCTGTGAACACTCCAACAAGATTACACTGTCAGGTCATGATGTTTCTTGTGTGGATAACTGTTTAATAGGAAACACATTGTTAATTATATATAGCCTTAATTTTACTTTGGATGTGGTGTTGTTTACTATGGAAGCCCGTTTCCGCCCCTGAAAAAAAAAGGTAATTGCGACTTTTTATCTCACAATTCTGACTTTTTTTTTTCTCGCAATTGCGAGTTTACATATTGCAATTCTGACTTTTTTTCTTCGAATTGTGAGATATAAACTCACAATTGCGAGTTAGAAAGGCAGAATTTTGAGAAAGTATAAACTTGCAGTTCTGACTTTTTTTCTCAGAATTGCACGAGATAAACTTGCAGTTGTGAGTTATAAAGTTATATTTCACAAGTCTGACTTCATAACATGCAATTGTGAGTAAGTCAGAATTGTGAGATATAAACTTGCAATTCTGAGAACATATCAGTCTTTTTTTCCCCCTCAGAATTGGACTTTATAACTCGCAATTGTGAATTTGTATCTGACAATTCTGAGACAAAAAGTAAGAATTGCGAGAAAAATAGTCAGAATTGCAAGATACAAACTCGAATTTGTGAGAACAAAAGTCAGAATTGCAAAGTATCTCACAATTTTATTCTGACTTGATAACTTGCAATTATGTGTTTATATCTCACAGTTCTGAGAAAAAAATTCTGAATTGTGAGATAAAAAGTCGCAATAAAATTTTTTTTTTAAAATTCAGTGGTGGAAACTGGTTTCCATAGTTTACATATAAACTGTATGTGAACCTTTGCTGTTTTGGAAGTTTATATCACATTACCCTGTGGATTACCTGTATTTAATGCAGATTTTATGAATTATGCAATTGCAAAAATTGTAAGACTACATGTGGTGTTTGTGAAGACAATCTGTTTAATCTGTGAATTTGTTTCCCCAGTTATTTTTGGTAGTTGTTGTATTGCATATACATGTTATTTTTATTTCTGGGGCACTTTTCAACATTTAAAAAATACTACATTTGTAGTGATAGAAGATGCTAGTAATGCATTAATTTCCCATTAATAAAAGAAACAGAAATCATGTAATGGCTATCAGTTACTTAAAAAATACTACAGTGATTTAAATGTAAAATATACCAAATATATTCAGAACATTAAGTCTAGGGTTTCACCATATGTTCGTTATCTTGTAATCGTAAATAATCTGCGGTGTTGCTGCAGGAATTCGATGTAAGCTATGCAAAATGCAATTTATTCCACATTGTAGCATCTAAAAGTTGCTCTTTATTTAATAACCCCTATATGTAACATTATGCTATTATGTTCGCATTATAATTTTGGAGAGTTTTAGATAAAGAACAAGTTGTTAAACTAGTGAGTCTGAAACTTGCTGCCGTCGAAAAGCTCTTTTGGAGGCTGCGGCCCGTGACGTCAGGGGGGCTCTGGCGCTCTGGCTCACAATTGGTCCAGGGATGCTGCGCGAGAGCTCTGTCACCCGAGCAGACGCTGCCGCGCGCTGGCCAAGACTCTCGCATCTCTCAAACAAAATCTTCTCCTTTACACTTCAAAACAAACGGACTGACACCGTCAACAGCAATACAGTATTTTCAAAACCCGGCACCGCTGCGCGGAGACCGAAAAAGAGCGAGCGAAACAATGTTTGTTTTGAACTGTCTTTTTGTTCTGTGAGGGAATCTTGATTTGTTTATCTTTTAGTAGTTTGTCAGGCAATGGTCGCGAGAATCTTTTTGGAGAGGGCGCTGCGCGTGTGCGTGAGGGCTGGTTAAACACACAGGCGTCTCAAGTGTCGGGTGCGCTCTAATCTTTTAAATAGACGTAGTATATTAAGTATACTCAGTTTCTAGGCAGGATTTTGTGTCCGGTTCAGATACTGATCCACATTTCTTCAGACGGTGGTCTGAGTCATTACTCTTTAAATAATAGCTGAGAAGGTCACGTGATAAACACAAAGGTTCTAGAGCGCTTTTTTTTTACAGTGTACGTGCGTATTTTGGATATTTTGGATTGGAGGGAAGCTAAAAGAAAGTCTCAGTAACGTTGTGTGTGAACATTTCCGTCAGTTTTGTTCACGGGGCGGCGCTTCACGCTGTGGAGCCCCGGTGCAGCTGTCCAGCGACTGCTTGATCAGCCCGCACTACAGTGTAGGGACACACTGCCGCGCGCGTTTTATAGATTATGCACAGTTTATGTTTTTTTTTTAATTGTTCAGAGATAATGAGGTGAGCCGAGTGTGTTATAAAGGGTTGGTTTTTAGGGTTGTATTTAGAGAAATGTAAGTGTTTAATTCGTTGAGGCCTCGACTTCTTAATCTTACAGACAATTGAACTATAGACCAATGATATTAACTTATTGTGTAGATAATTTACATTGATATTTTGATTCTGACTTCTGACAATATGCTTTATATAAATGCAGTGGTACAATTAACGTTATTATTAACATAGTAGTAGCAGTAATAGCCTATTATGCTAAATAATGGGACAAATTATATAATTTACAAAACGTACAAATCCTCTACCTACTGTATAGTGTTTAAGCTTTTTAGTTTATTAATAGTAAACATTAATAAACTGAATGCTAGCTAGCTTAAGTCCTATTATGCACTGTAAAAAAAAATATGAAATGACTTTCAGGGAAGTCAAATCAAATCATTGCAGAGCTTAGAACCTGTAGTGATGCATTAACTGCATTTTTAAACTACTTTGAATTTAACTAATATTGATGCAGAAAATCTTGCTGAAACTCTAATCAAGCGGAAATTGAGTATAAATTATAGAAAAAAATGGTGGCAATTTAAACGGAGGGAAAGAAAGAGACTGCTATAATGATGAATTTTTTTTCATTTTTTTTCATGTGAGTATGACAGCTTTTGTCAAAGCATCCCATTAAGCACAGTTTGGAGATCAGTCTTTTATTTAGTCAGTAAGTTATTTATTTCTTTGTTCATTAGCAGTTCAGACCATCATTCATTCTGTTCACCTATCTAGCTTTGTTAATTAAAACATAATCCTATCAATGAATGAGCCCTTCCCCCTTGCATGACCTTTGACCCGAAGAGAGCGATGAAGAGGACGGTCAGTGATTGAGATCCTCTTTGTGCCCTCACTTTTGTAAATAGCCATTGATTGCTGATGCTAATTTCACCAGTGCGCACACAGTTAGTTACTCAGTGTGTGTCTGTGTGTGTGTGTGGCCTCTTACGAGTCGCAATTGAAATGCTATGTTAATGTTGCTAATGGAGGTTTTGGCAGAGCTATTTGTGTTGGTGTTTTTGTGTGATTCTGTATTAGATCAAAAGGTGCGAGTGAGAGAACGAAAGCGAGTGAGAGAAGGACACAGGTGCCCTTGCAGTGTGTGGTGACGTGAGTTGACTGTGAATTGGGCAGGTGGTGGAGAAAGGAGGGGCTAGAAAGAGAGAGGGCTCATGTATTCTAGAATGTCCAGTGGATGTGTTGAACGTGATCGGTTTGCCTGAACAGAGCATGCTGCATGCTGCATCCGAGACACCCAGCAGAGCGCATCGATATACCTAGTATGGATATGTAGAGAATTTATCAAGCTCAGCTGAAAAAAGCTACTATGCAAATGAAGTATGACCCTGGGACTGAGCTCATACGCCCTCCCCCTGCCACGTACATGCGCACCCGCACCCGCTGGTAGTGTCTTTGGATTTATAGACAGTAATTTAGTTGGCCGGCCCCTTGGCGCTCTGCGGCAGATCCTTTCTGCCATTTTCAAAAATCTCTCTCTCTCTCTTTCTCGCTGTGTTTCCAACATGGCCGTCCAAGGAGCCCACCGCCTCCCTACTTTCGCTCTATACCTCTTCTCCGTTCACACAAGGTCACTCCCTCGCACTTTCTTTCACTTATTCTCTTTCGTTTTCTCTTTCTCTCCCTCCGCAGCCTCCCTCCATCCCACCTTTTCATATTTCACCCAAACGTGAGTGAGGCGCTACGTCTTTTATATTGCTGCGTCAAAGTGGCGAGGGGGGGGGCGACGAGAAAGAAAGCCTTGGTGTGTATGTGTGTGCGTGTGTGTGTGTGAGATGCTGGGGAGGGGTGCGGGGTGATTGGACACGCTAGGTGCCTCTCTGTAGAATGCAGCACAGGGCTGGAGCTCTCGCTGAATATGGATGAGAAGGAAAGCAGAGGGTGATGCAGTAGGAAGATTCCCTCCGTCAGTCTGCCTCTGCCTGAACAATACCAAGCCTCTCTGCTTCAAACACTCACTCACTCACACACACATATACACACACAGCACACGGCAATTGCATTGCCATCACACACAATCAGAGAAAGAGAGAGAGAGGGAGAGAGAGCAAGAGAGAGAGACGGGGGCTGACTGCGGGTATGGAGGGGAGGATGCGCTGACGTTGTCCCCCTCTCGGATACGAACCTGGGGAAAAAGGTTGACTGGCCACATTCCTTGACGGCGGCAGAGCTCCTATGATCAGCCTGCAGTCGGGCATCGCTCACCGGTCCAGCCTCTCGGCGTCCATGGCTATCTGAACCCCACCTCCAGCACGCTACAGCAGAATGGGTAAGAGATTCTGTCCCCTTTTGTTGACTTGTTGCGCATGCAGACGAGTTGACCGTTTCGCTTTGCGTCTTTCGTTCTTTCACCCTTTCTTTTCCCGTCCTCCATTGGCGTCTCTTCATTCATTCTGTGGGAAGGAGAGGCTTGCTTGTCCTTGCAGTGTACCTAGGACAGGCCCTCCTTTTCAAATGCAGAGTGTGTGTGTGTTACATGGTGGTGGTGGTGGTGGTGGGGGGGGTTAACAATGCAATCCCTCTTGACCCACTCCCTCTGTGTGTTTGCATGACACTCTGTTCACTCTATGTGCTGTGTGTAATCATAGGTTTGAGCCCATAACTGTCTGACTGCATTAGCGGCTGTGTAAGTATGGCTAACTGGCAAACAGCAGCAACAGATTGTATTATTTACTCAGACACTCACTGCTGAAAACCTGTTACACCAGCTTTCCTTACATCATCGCCGCAAGCAGGAGTGCACGGGTGAGGAGCGCTCCCAAAGCGCTCGCCATTCTCAAATCACTGCTGCATGCGAATGTGCCCTAGGTTTTCCTTTTAACAACAGGTAAGCGGCAGCAGACCTTCCCGTTAGCTCTTTGCGCCTTCAGAATGCCACCTCCAAGTCGCCTTGGAAACAATTGTGAGGCGGCCGCAATGGAGAGAGTGAAGTTTCCGTTCCTTGTCAGCCAAGGTCAAATGGTCCCCACGCCGCCTCTCTGTAAAAAACGACTGCCAGAGGTTCGCTTTCCTACGACGCTGTGGCGTGCTGGTGCAACATACTTCAGTGATCGCAAGAGCCCTGATTGCCCTTCCTCTATCTTTTCCGTTCTTATAAACTCACTCACTCTTTCCTTATCTCCCCTCCGGCTGTGCTCTTCAAAAACCTCCATCATGAATTCCTGAGCGTGTGTCCACTGCGTCCTGTCCTCTTCCTCCGTTCACTGCAAACTGCCCTCATTAAATGGTCCCACTAACAGTGTCTGCATTCATTCCATTCACACTCGCACCCTCCTCTTTAACAGACCAGTCATTGATAAGATCGGGATCTGCCCAGCTCTGTGTGTGTGTATGTGTGTGTGTTTGATCGGCTGCAGCGAGCATCGTGGACTGGAATCCTATCCTTACCTGTCAGCCATGTGTGTGTGTGTGTGTGTGTGTGGCAGGGAGCATTGAGTCGGGTGAGGCAATGACGTAATGCATATCCCACTGCGCACCTGGAGCGCTGCAGAGGACAGGTACAGATTGAACCGCTCTGCAAGGCTCCGTCCAGATATCAGTTGTATCCACTAGCCCCTCTCCAGGGCCCTACGAAGGGAGCTAGTGTCCTTGGGTGAGCGTTTGTGTATGATGTCGTCACAAGATGAAGTATTTGTAGTGCGCTGCACCTGTTTCATCGAGAAACCCTGAGGTCAGTCCCAGTGCAGAGAATAATAAATCTCTCACCCTCTGACATATTTGCACATATTCATTTAACAAATGATTTTCTCTAGAGTGACTGAGCACAGAGCAAAGCCAGTCAGCCAGGGAGAGAGAAAAGAGAGGGATGAACAAAAGAATGGCAATGCTGCAGATAACAGCTTTTAGATCTGTATAACAGAGACGGGAATGCAGTTTTTACTCTCCTTTTTCCAAAGTTTCATGCATTTCTATAAGAATGTATGGAGATGTGAGTGACTGGGTCACTCTGTGTTTTTCTCAAATTGTCTTTTCTATTAAAATTCTGCTCGGGTATCTTTCTAACTGTGCGTTGCACGTTCAGCTGCGCTTAAGCGACTTATACTGTGTGTGAGCTTGCTTCTTTCTTTCCTTCTTTTTTTTCTTTTTCCTTCCCTTTTTTGTCTTCCTGTTAGGCTAGATAATGTATTACAACTGAAGCTAATGTTCGCTTTGATCCTGGTGCCATCTAGTAACTGGCCCGCCCACTCTTGGCTTGATTATATATGCTTGGGCTGACAATTATTTTTCTCTTGATTACCCAGATTCCCTGATTTTCTGGTATTAATGGGATTGTCTGGATAGGATGATTGATCACGTATTGACCAAATTAGCCTTCCGGTTTTGAGATTGTGTGCTGTATTTCTGGAAGAACTGCGCATGTCGCTTCCAACTTGATGAGTCAAGCCAGCGTTAGGGTACAGGTGAAAGCGGTGATGTGTACAGCATGTAGTGGACTTTGGTGTTCTTTGGAATGAAACAAAGTTCCCACAGGAGAGTCAATCAGAGTTGCTTAGAGACCATAATATTTTCACCTTCTCCCTGCCGCCCATCCCCTCTCCTCTTCTTCTCATCTGTCCTCTCCCCTCCTAGTCACTCTTTTCCTCTACCACTCTCTGGAACAGTCTTTTCCTTTCGGTCGAATATTCCTTTCTTCCTTCCTAACAAATCTTTCTCATCCCAGCTTGCCCTTCCATATTTTTCCATGTTTTTTATTTATTATTAGCGTGTTTGCTCTTATCCTGCAGTTTCTGTCTCTCCTTGTATCTCTGACTCTCTCTGCAGTGGTAAAGGGTCAGCTGCTGGAGATTGGGGGCATTTGAGTCTGCGAAACCCATCTTATCTCTCGGATTTACTACAGTCTCTGAAAGACACTGATATAGTACACAAACATGATGTACTTTTGCATCTTCTTCCATTTTGTCACATAATGGGCTAATGTACTGAAAACAAGAAATACCATCTTAGCTGCAAGTCAAATGAAAAAAGTTATTGATTAGTTCTAGCTATGCCAACAGTAACATTTAGAGGGGAACATCAGGTATTCAACATGACTTGAGCGGTATGATGTCATGATGGAATATATTTGCATGTTTAGTGGTGAGGGAGTTTGATGACCCTTGTGTAAAAAAAAAAAAATATTTTTGATGTGTTGTAATCACCTTCTGGTTCTTCACTTGTTTTAGCAATGGACTCTGGGCCATATGTTGTGTTTAGGATGTGTAATATTGTGGTTGGAGAGGGAAGCCTCGTCCCCCCGGGAACCTCTGAGTGACTTATGCGCTGTTGGCTGGGTTCTTCAGGACAAATCTGAGGATTTAGCATCCATATGCTCCTGCCTGAACAGCCTTCCAGGCAATTACCCACAAGCCCACGGCCTCAGTATAGTGAAGTGCTACAGACTGCCTACACACCACCCGCCACACACTTTCACTTAAACCTCAACTTCTGACTGTGACACTGAACCTCCATGCTGAGCATCTGAGCGGTTTGTCGGCTGGCTGACCGTTTGTGTGTGTGTGAGAGAGAGAGAGATGGCGAAGAAGATAGTGAAGGACACAAAACACAGAGATAGTTTGGTTAAATTTAGACCTCTACCAACCCAAAGCAGGTCACTTTATCTCTGCATGGGGAAAAAGTGGGACAGAGGCAGAATCAGTAGGAACTCATCAGGGAGAGAAAGAGAGCGAGAAAAAGTGAAGGAAGAAATACAGAGAAATGAAAAAGGAGAGGAAGTGAACAAAAGAACCAGACGGTACTTTTCATGTTTAGTTTGTATATTGTTTCAAAAGGAGAAGGTGTAGTGAGGTCATGATGGTGCACTCGTGTGGCCTCTGGTTGGCTTTATAATGTTTTCAAACTGTTATATAATCTTACTACAGTTTTGCCAAAAATCCTCTGAATTAAACATGACTGCATATTGCACATAAAAACAAAAATAAATATTAACGTATATTTAAACAGTATTAGTTGCACTTTATTTTGCAGTGTGTGTACTTACAATGTTCTTACCTAAGAAAGTAATGGGTAAGGTAGCTACATGGATTAAGGTTAGGTTTAGGGGTAGTTTCAGGGTTAGTACCCAGATATTGTAATCACTATAATAAGTACCTAGTATGTACATGTGGAACAGGACTGTAAAATAAAATGATAATTATTCATGTACATTTCAGACCTTTCTGCGATGCTATTAATTAGCATTCTTCCACAGTGGAAATAAACCATATGACATCTGTCTGATTTGTTAAAAATATTAGAATTGAGACGCTTTCATCTCTAACTTTGTGTTTGTTTTTTTGTGTGCATGTGCAGAGGAGGGTGAATATTTCCTGAAGGTGTTGATTCCCAGCTATGCCGCTGGTTCAATCATCGGTAAAGGGGGGCAAACCATCGTGCAGCTTCAGAAAGAGACTGGAGCCACCATCAAACTGTCCAAATCTAAAGACTTCTACCCAGGTATGAATCAAATCTTCTTTCTCTAATAATGATGAACATTAGTTATTTCAGAGTTTAGAACATATAATTTATTTTATTTTGAATTAACTTCTATAATTTATGTTATTAGATCTGTGTTATAAATCCTCACAGTTAAATCACAGGTCACTTTATCTCTGCATGGGGAAAAAGTGGGACAGAGGCAGAATCAGTAGGAACTCATCAGGGAGAGAAAGAGAGCGAGAAAAAGTGAAGGAAGAAATACAGAGAAATGAAAAAGGAGAGGAAGTGAACAAAAGAACCAGACGGTACTTTTCATGTTTAGTTTGTATATTGTTTCAAAATGAGAAGGTGTAGTGAGGTCATGATGGTGCACTCGTGTGGCCTCTGGTTGGCTTTATAATGTTTTCAAACTGTTATATAATCTTACTACAGTTTTGCCAAAAATCCTCTGAATTAAACATGACTGCATATTGCACATAAAAACAAAAATAAATATTAACGTATATTTAAACAGTATTAGTTGCACTTTATTTTGCAGTGTGTGTACTTACAATGTTCTTACCTAAGAAAGTAATGGGTAAGGTAGCTACATGGATTAAGGTTAGGTTTAGGGGTAGTTTCAGGGTTAGTACCCAGATATTGTAATCACTATAATAAGTACCTAGTATGTACATGTGGAACAGGACTGTAAAATAAAATGATAATTATTCATGTACATTTCAGACCTTTCTGCGATGCTATTAATTAGCATTCTTCCACAGTGGAAATAAACCATATGACATCTGTCTGATTTGTTAAAAATATTAGAATTGAGACGCTTTCATCTCTAACTTTGTGTTTGTTTTTTTGTGTGCATGTGCAGAGGAGGGTGAATATTTCCTGAAGGTGTTGATTCCCAGCTATGCCGCTGGTTCAATCATCGGTAAAGGGGGGCAAACCATCGTGCAGCTTCAGAAAGAGACTGGAGCCACCATCAAACTGTCCAAATCTAAAGACTTCTACCCAGGTATGAATCAAATCTTCTTTCTCTAATAATGATGAACATTAGTTATTTCAGAGTTTAGAACATATAATTTATTTTATTTTGAATTAACTTCTATAATTTATGTTATTAGATCTGTGTTATAAATCCTCACAGTTAAATCATTTTATTTACTGTGCAACAGACGGCGGAGTTAATTGTGCCATGCATAAATCTCTGTAACACTAAACACTCTTGAAAATAAAGATTTTTCTTCCTTCTCCTTATCAGTAACTATTTTTCACTGTATAGGATTTTTAGAGACAAAAATGTTTGAGGTTCTTCTGTGGCATCAAGCTTTAATATTTTTGGTAATAATTGGAGCCTGCATTTTTAGGGATGAAGGATAAAAGAGTTTTACATCTGCATTTTCTGTGCAGTCTTCTCTCCCTCTGATAAACATTTTTTTAACACCAGTAGATTTTTGCAAGCTGAAAAATCTAGAATACTAGTAAGCAACAAGCTTGTAAGTTTTCTGAATATTATGCAGAATGTCTGACGGAGGCCTTAGATCTACACCATGGTAGATTAATGTGAATGAGGCCATTTACAGATGTTGGCCTGTTTGTGTCATTGACTATAGTATCTTTTCCACCATGTTCCATTAAGAAGCTGCTTTATGTTGTAGCGTGGAAAAATAAAATCGGCAGAGAATGACAGTGGAAAATGTGCCCATGGGGAGAGAAAATATCTGAGAAAGAGAGAGAGAAAGCGTGTGTGTGTGTGTGTGTGTGTGTGTGTCGCAGCTGTGAAGCGTACAGCTGAATATTGTGAGCATAATTTGTCTGTGAATAGCTATGTTTTCATTCATTAAACACATCTGTTACAACTAAAACTATCCTGAGACCACCTGTTCTGCCTTCCACCCTTACTTACCCTACCAACACACACAAACACATTCTCACTCTCGCTTGTCTTCTCACTTGCTTGTGCAGTTTTATTATCCTGCAAAGTTGCATTTGAGTTCCAGAATTTGAAATGAATCCTAAATTTGAATTAAGGTAGCAAACAGGATGCGAAATTGCTATTTTAATTTCAATTAATTTTAATTCAGCTTCTTTACAAGAAAATTCAAATAACTGATGTATAACTCTGTAATAAAAAGCAAAGTTTGCATGTTTTTTTTTTTTACCTTTTGAATTTTGTAAAAATTATTTGTAATGTTTTTTATTAATTTGTTACAATTTATTTTAGCTTTGAAGTTTGAAAGTTTTTATATGCCATAGATAAATAGATAGATCATGTATATTTTAAAGTTTATATATAGTTACATATTATCATATTTAATAAATCAATTTTAGTCCACCAAGGTGGAAGAACAGTCATTTTTAAATAATGTGTTATTTTACCTGTGAGGAACTTAATAAATAAAAATAATAATGAATACATTTCTCTTCTTGTCATTTCAATTCAAATTCAACTTCCTGTGTGCCGTGACCAGTTGAATTAAATTCCAATCCCAACTGATAAATTGAACTGAAGTTAATTCTTTGATTCTGAATTTTGCCAAACCCTGAATACAACAAGTAGTGCTGCTCTGGCACAAACACCAGCACATCCTAAATCATTCTGGTGTCTGATATATTAGCAGCTTCTCTTCCAGACCTCATTTATCTTATGAGATATTGAAAGGGAAACATTTAAACTCTCTCTGGCTCGCAAGAGAGCTATAAAAAGAATTCACCTACAGCTGAGTGGTTTTACTCCAGCCAGCGTGTGTTTTACCAAACACACACACACACACACACACACACACACACAAACAAACAAACAAACAAACAAACAAACACTGTAGCCTGTCACACATTTAAATTACAATTCAGTTTTTTTTTACTTATTTAACCGCAGACTCTTACCACAAACCACATCTCCTGAACGAGGGGATGACTGAAATTAACACAGCGCACACACACACACACACACACACACACACACACACACACACACTCACTTGTGCTTGTTTTATTTGTAAGCCTTCAACATCTTGAAGTGCCAATGTTGAAACTGGGGGAGAATTTGTAGCTTTGGTGTGATACTCAAACTAGATGTAAAAAAAAATAAAAATAAAATAAAAACACAGCCGAAGAACAAACACTTGGTCAAGTATGCATGTGTGCTGGAGCAAACACACACAAGTGCGGCTATATCTCTGCCCTGTTGCCCGGAAACAAACACACACTACCAACAACCTACATGCCTTCTCTTCTCACATCTCTCTCCCTCCAAATGAAATGGAAGATGATCATGACAGTATATTTAGGACATTGAATGATGCTTTCCACCACAAGACTGAACAAATCCTAACTTGAATTCAGGCCGACACAATACGCAGAGGATTGTGTAACAATAACTCATTGTAGATTTCTCTGGTCATGGTAAAACAAGTCCAGTTCAGCGTGGGCTCTTTGGGTTCTCACAGTTACAGCAATATTACAGACAGGTCAAGCGCTTCAGGACAGTGATATGCCAGAGATTAGTAGACTGTGCGTGTGTGTCCTGGACATTTTTGTGGCGTGTCCCATGGGAGTGATGTGGTTAGAGAAGACAGGTTTGGAATTCTATGCATTCAGAATGAATTACATCATGCAGTCATAAGTTCATTTGCTTTTTCCCCTATGTTGCAATAGCCCTTTTAATTCTTTTTGATAAATGCATTTATACTGAAAGGAGAAATAGTTTCTTTGAAAATGTAATGTGTGTTTCCATTACCTTATGAAATATAGCTCAAACAATAGAGCATGGTGCTTACAGCTCCAAGGTCATAGGTTCAGCTTGCAAGAAATTCATGAAATTATAAAATGTACACCTTGAATACAACGCAAGTTGCTATGGATAACAGTGTCTGTCAAATTCAGAAATGTAATCAAATACAACAAAATATTTGTATAACATTATTTACTTAATGTATGTTAAGCTTTATTAACGTATCTGTATGTTTACTGTATTGATATATTACGTTCATATTCAATAAATATATATACTATTGTTCAAATGATTAAACTTAATATTCATCAAGAAACCTGAAAAACATGGCACAAATATATTCAAATAGAAAACATTATACATTATACACAATTTCATTTTACATGTTTAAATATTTTACATTTTAATTTTACAAGCAAACTCTATGCTAACGTTACATTTTTTTCTTTTGTATGTTTTTGGCAGGTACGACAGAGCGTGTTTGTTTGATTCAGGGTACGGTGGAAGCTCTGAATGGAGTTCATAACTTCATTGCTGAAAAAGTTCGTGAGATGCCTCAGAGCAGTCAGAAGACCGAACCAGTCAGCATTCTCCAGCCACAGACTACTGTTAACCCTGACCGTGTTAAACAGGTTCGTTCGTGAGGTTGAGTTACTACTACACCACACCAAATCCAAACAGATGTACAAGTGCTTAGTTATTAAATGTAGGATGAAGAGTTAAACATATCAGACTTTGCAGTTTAAGAATTAAACATGCAAATGAGTTATTCCCCTAAACCACAGCTTAGTTCATAATATTTGTAATATTTTGATTAGTTTGCTTACAAAATGACAGCATAGACAGTGAGTACATTTACATGCATATGGAGTATTGAGTATAATTGAGTTTTGCATAGTCAGGCTAGAGTTTTCATCTGTACATGAGAGTTTACATGACATTTTAGAAAGGTGAATTATTGCATTAGTCTTACTGAAATCAACTTCTTAAGTACATGTAAACATACTTACTGTCAGCTATCTGACAGTGATAAGCAACACTGAAGACAGGCAAATATACTAGCCCAAAGGAGGTAAAGGGCAGGGCAGGCTGGTGGTTGTTCCCCAGGGAAAGAGTGGCTGAGAGGGGCTGCAAAGTGTGAGAGCAGTGGGTTATTTTTACCTGCTTGATCCTTGCAGAATGAGAAACAGAGAGGGAGTGAGAGAGAGCAGCTGCAGTGTAAGACCAGGGATCAACAAATGGCTGATATAAGCACTGACTTAAGAGCAAGACCTTACACAGATACACACACACACACTATTATACATTCTTAAACATGTACGAGCATACAGGGTCACATATTGTAAATGCAGCTATCTTTAAAGATATTATGACCATTTTTTACTGTACACTGTAAAATCGAATTAGTTGGGCTTACATAAAAAAAAGCATGCAAACCGATTGCCTTGAAAAAACGAAGTAAAGTGAAATAGGAATGGTATGTTGTACTGACAAATGCTTAGTATAGTTTACTTACACGAGAGTTCTAGTAACTAAAAAAGAACTGTAGGGGGTACTTGATCCTTTCATTTAGGTTTACTCATGACTTAGTGTAGCTACTCACTGACTCCCAGAGTGCATTGCGGCATGAATAAATTATGCAGTTGCTTTGTTTTACAGTTGATGATTTTATTTGCCAATTTTATTTGCTGTCTTGTGTCAGTAGTATCACAACAAAAAGAGCAAATAAAATAGTTATTGTTACAATTATTGAAAATAAATGAAATCGAATTGTTACCATTGTTGTCATTCACGTGCTGAATGTTTAAGTCTGTGTGTGACTTTAGCATATTACCCCACACTATTTAAGGATTATATAAACCCAATTAAAAGCATCTCAAGGTATTTTTGAAAAATGAAATTTGAAAAAGTTAATTAATAAACACACACACAAAAAATACACTAATGCTTTAATTAGAAGATAGGTCACCTTCTAAAAGCAACCTATTTATTTATTTTCTTCCCTTGAAATCAAATAACTCTGACTACATGATGCATTGCTGCATAACTGCAGACATGGAGGAAATGGGTGAAAAGTTTATTAAGACTGTTTTTCTTTTCTTCTTCTTCTGTTGTTATGTTGCACATTAGTATGGCGTTATTTTAATGACAAATGTCGAGAGCACATTATTGTAGTGCGAAAGCACATTAATATAATGCGCAAGCATGAATCTTTCCTTTGCTCTCGCACAAAGCCGGACGCGCGTGCTCAGATACACACTGCTCTCGCCCAGAGAGTGTGCGCCCATTTAAAATGTGTCTCTACTCTCACTCAAACTGTCCTGTGCACTCGCAAATCTGCTCATGCGCTAGATATTAATTCTTTTCGCACCTGAATTAAACAATGTCAAAAGAAAACAGATTTTTTCACTAAAGGCTTTTGCTTGTTTTTTATTGTTGTATTTTTGTTTTAACAAACTGGTTATTGCACTTTGTTTTATTACTTTATCTCTTTTATGTTTGTATTTGTCTTTTCTTTTCTGTAAATGCACATATGCATCTCTCTGTAAAATACTTTGTAAACACTTTTAAAATAAAGCTTTAAACAATCAGACCTCCACAACTGACCGATGAAAATACTATGTGAAATCTAATTGGCTGAGAGGGAACTGAACCTGGAATTCTTTTGACAATCAAAGATGGATCTTTAATTTATTTCCAGTTTAATAATATTTAGCAATGTTAATGAAATGTGGCCTATATTAGAAATGGCTGAATTGGGTGCTTGAATGATTTGTACGTAGCCTATAAATAACCTCTGTCCAACTAGTTGTCTCTGAGCAATTTATGTAAAAACAACATATTATAGCCTATGGCTCTAAAGATGTCATATAAAACATCATTTTTATGTCATAATGTGTCAGATACTTCAACTGAATTTAAAATAATTGCAGTAAATTCTCAGTTGGTATGATGGCAATAGTAACAATTCCTATCAAATCGACATCAAATGCAAAAATAGACGTAAATGATGCAAGATGTAACACAATAAATGGTCTGATAGAATCACTGTTTGGACATTTATTGGGAGTTTTTATATTTATTTTTTATAAATCCAGTTTTTGTTTTCAGTTCTGATTTTAGTTAGACTTTTTTCATGAAAACAGCTACACATTCAATGGCACTCTCAAACCGTGAATATACAGTTATATGACAGTTACATGTAATTACATTGTCTGCAAATGCATTAAACCCATAGAATATAATGTAGTAATGTTATGACAAATATGGGAAATTCATTATAGTGTTATATTTGGTCTCCACATCTTAAGAATAGGGAATAGTGCATCTGACCCTTATCTAAATTTGTCCTTAATCAGAAGATATATTTATTTATTTATTTCAATCCAAGTGCACAATAGGCTATATGACCACATGAACTTTAAGAATCATATAGGCCTACTTTTTATTTGTGTTTAGATAAATCGCTCACAGGGGTTTGGCCAAACTGTTAAACTAGGTTAGGCCTATTTACAAATAATCCAAGCACCCGATTCATTTCTAATATTTGGTTATTATGACTTAGTAGTATTAAATTATAAAGAAATTACAGATCCATCTTTGAAATCTGATAGGTTGATAACATTTGACAACGTTTAATTCAGGTGCGAAAATAATTATTATCTAGCGCATGAGCACAGAGAGATTTGCGAGTGCACAGGATAGTTTGAGTGAGAGTAGAGACACATTTTAAGTGGGCGCACACTCTCAGGGCGAGAGCAGCGTGTATCTGAGCGCGCACGTCAGGTTTTGTGCGAGAGCAAATTAAATCCGCGTGCGAGCGGAGAGATTCACGCTCGCGCATTATATTAATGTGCTTTCGCGCTACAATATAGCGCTCTCGACATTTGTCATTAAAATAATGCCATACATTAGCAACATATTAGTGCACTGCTGCCTCTCACTGGTTTATTAATGTCATTGGTTCCTTCGTGGCTACTTGAATATTTTAAGTAAGTGTCACTCAAAACAGTAAGTAAATTGTTTTATTTGCCTTGAAAGTAGCTGTAACTTAATAAAACCTAGTAAGTATAACAACTAAGTAAAGATAACTAATTAAATCTAAGTAAGGTAAACTATTGGATTTTACAGTGTATAAGTGTGGACCAAAAACAAACATCTACATAATCAGCACAGATGCACTTGAGCTTATTGCAGCATCTACTTTTGGGGCTGTGTGCAGTCTCATGCATGTAATTCTGTTCCTCAATCAAAGTGACACTTCCCCTCCTCCACAGGCTAAACTGATCGTGCCCAACAGCACAGCAGGACTCATCATCGGTAAGGGTGGGGCAACAGTTAAGGCTGTGATGGAGCAGTCGGGAGCCTGGGTACAGCTTTCTCAGAAGCCTGAGGGCATCAATCTGCAGGAGCGTGTCGTGACAGTGAGCGGGGAGCCGGAGCAAAACCGCAAGGCCGTGGAGATCATTGTTCAGAAGATCCAGGAGGACCCACAGAGCAGCAGCTGTCTCAATATCAGTTACTCCAACATCACTGGCCCTGTGGCCAACTCCAACCCAACCGGTTCCCCATTCGCTAACTCTACAGAGGTGTTACCCAACGCCGCAGCAGCAGCTACAGCCTCCACGCTCCTTGGCCAGGTGGGTCTCGCAAGCATGGGTGGGTTCCCTGCGGCCATGACAAGTTTTTCCGGTAATGATCTTCTTGCCATTACATCTGCTCTGAACACTCTGGCCAGTTATGGCTACAATACCAATACACTGGGGCTTGGCCTCAACCCGGCCGCTGCATCTGGGGTGCTCGCTGCCGTTGCAGCTAGCGCCAATCCAGCGGCTGCAGCTGCTGCCAATCTGCTTGCTACTTATGCCAGCGAGGCTACTGGAGGGGGCGGCCACCCTGGCGTACCTAGCTTAGGGGGCTTCTCACTGGGCTCCCTAGCGGCCGCTACAGGGGTGTCTAATGGTTACCTGAATGCCTCATCCCCACTGGTGGCATCATCTCTGCTGGGCACAGAGAAGCTGGCAGAAGGTGGAAAGGAAGTGGTGGAGATCGCTGTGCCAGAGAACTTGGTCGGTGCTATCTTGGGAAAAGGCGGCAAGACTCTCGTGGAGTATCAGGAGCTGACAGGGGCACGAATTCAGATCTCCAAAAAGGGAGAGTTCATTCCAGGCACACGCAATCGCAAGGTGACCATTACAGGGTCGCCGGCAGCAACGCAGGCCGCCCAGTATCTCATCAGCCAGCGAATCACATACGAGCAAGGTGTCCGTGCCACCAACCCTCAGAAGGTGGGCTAGGGATGGACAGGAGTGGGGAGGAGAATGACGAAAGAGAAGGAAACCAGAGAGAATGAATAGATGACTGAATGAATGAATTCGAGAGAGAACGGGATGGGTTGGAGTGAGAAACATGTCCAAATACTTAAACACAAAATAAGGATGATTACAAAACAAATGAAAAACGATCTGATGGAACTGTGGATAGATAATCTGATAATCTGTGGATAATAATCTGATTGGGGAGAAATGTGATATTTTGTGACTGAAATTTTGCTGTATTTTTAAAGTTGTGTTACGTTGTGTAGGTCCGAGTATCGTGCCCTGGGGCACTCAGAGGAGGAGGAGATCAAACCTCACTTCCTCTCTCATAGCCAGGGTCTTTTTAATTCTATGTTCAACTTTTGGCTTCCATTGCAGAACCCTCACAGTTTAGTTCATATCTAATCCACACCCTGAGCAAGGAGATTGGAGTTTGAAGCAGTCCCCCTTTTGATATCAGTAAATTGAGTCTCTGAAACTGTTGTGTAGGCCTGAAATAAAAAGGAAGATACCTATAAAATATTTCCATAGGTAATCTTGGTTTCCCCCCTTATTGTTTTCAACTGAGACTTAATCTCAAACACCTGCTGAAAGATTTCAGTCTGCATTACATTACTAATATCTCTGTGACTCTCCATTATGGTCAGTTCACAATCAGCCTCTTTTAGATTTACTCAAACCTGTGATTCCAGGTTGACCTGAATGTAAAAGTACTTCCTGAAATTGTTGTTTTTTTTAATATGTAAATAGAGTATCAAATTGAGATGCTGTTGAAAGTAGATAACTAACCTTCAGCCACAGACAGACAGAGACCGACATCATACATCAAAGTTTAGATACTCAGCATTAGAGAACTGGAATGTAATACACATATATACAAGTGCAGTTTAGTCACAGGATCCCACTTTGGTGCTATAAGAAAACACATTTGAAGAGATTTTGTTGTCGTATCTACTGATTTTAGTATTTATGGGAGAGTTTCTCTGAGCCCTCATGAATTATTGGGGGCATTTTGCGATTTACTCACGAGACTGAGAGCGAGTGGATATTCCTGAGACTTAATCTCAAACACCTGCTGAAAGCATTACATTACTAAAATATCTGTGATTCTCCATTATGGTCAGTTCACACTCAGTCTCTTTTAGATTTTTTCAAACCTGTGATTCCAGGTTGACCTGAATGTATAAAGACTTCCTGACATTGTTGTTTTTTTAAAATATGTAAATAGAGTATAAAATTGAGATGCTTTCAAGAGTAGATAACTAACCTTCAGCCACAGACAGACAGAGACGGACATCATACATCAAAGTTCAGATACTCAGCATTAGAGAACTGGAATGTAATACACACACATGCAAGTGCAGTTTAGTCACAGGATCCCACTTTGGTGCTTTAAGAAAACACATTTGAAGAGATTTTGTTGTCATATCTACTGATTTTAGTATTTATGGGAGGGTTGGTCTGAGCCCTCATGAATTATTGGGGGCATTTTGCGATTTACTCACAAGACTGAGAGTGAGTGGATATTCAAAAGATCCCGCCAGAGCAGAGACACAACTGTAGGATCTTAAAAGTCTGTTTTGTCTCATTGACTTTTAACTCTTACTACTACAGAAAACCTTTGGACACACTACCAAGGAATTGAAGTCCTTAGAATCCTGAACTTGAAAAATAATTGGACCTGTTCAGACAGATGTACCTCTCAACTCCTCCTCTTCCTCTGATTGGAGGAGCCAGGCAATGTCTGTGCCTGTTTCGTTTGAAAGGAGCTCAGGTTGTCATACCTCATGTTTGTGAAGAAGGAGAAAGATTTCCAGTTTGTATGCAGTGCAGCAAAGTCTTGGGTGCATTACAGATACCACCTCGTTCACATCGCACTTAATGCCTGTTTGCGTCAGACTGGCAGCAGAGGTGCGGTTGAGGTAGTGAATGAGAGACTAAAACGACACAGCTTTTGTAACCTGTGTGAACTCATTCGAAGGCCGGAGGATGCTACTGTAATGACTGTCGACCTTCAGCCTTCTTCAGTAAAGCGGCGTCGCTGCGAGGCGAACACTGGCAGGCTAACTGATTATAATTCTGCTTCCTTTGAGAAACCAAACTGCAGGCCGTAGTGTCAGACGCACAGCTCCGTTTGCCCAACGTTCTGAAGCATTGCCGTAGAGTTTCACGAGCCCTCCACCTTTTCCACTGATCAACAGGTCATCAGTTTCACAGACTGGTGGTGATAGTTACTCATTAGTTAATTCCACAGTTGTACACTGCATCAAAATATTTGCTGCTAACAGCATTTTCGGTCTTGCCAGCAATTGGCTCTTGCATGGAGAGTAAGCAGGAGCTCCCGTACAGGGCGAGTGATCGTCTCTGAACCACACTGTGAATCCAGCGGCCTGACGCTATCGCAACTATGGAATGTACTGTACATATTTCACACCATCGAGAATGCGTCCACTGAGATACGGCATGACGGAATAAAGCAATGAAACCGAGCGAGCACAAGAACACGGGCCGCGAGGCTCCGCTGTAGGAGCGTCTACCTGTAGTTTACCTTGATCTTTTGCAAAACCAGAGGCCGCCGAGGTTCTGATTACTCCCCCCCCCCACCCCACCCCGGCACCCAGGCCTGTCATTAATTAGCAGATCTCCATCTGAACGCTGGACTTCTATTTATAATAACACTGCACAGCCCAGTCTACTGCTGACCTACATACACACTCTAAAAGACATTCATCATCTCCCTCCAACTACCAGCCCTCTAATCTACTCGCTAGAGGGGAAGCGGAAACGTAGAAAAAGGAGGGAAGAGAGAGAGAGAGAGAGTAACCTATTTATATCCATTACATAATTGTGAGGAATATTAACATTTCCACATCTCTCATTATTGCTGTTTAAATACAGTTCAACATACCATTTAACATGCCAAAAGCTTGTACTCCCAAACTAGTACTCCCAAGTAGTACTCCCAAACTATTTACTATGTTTCAGTACCAGCCATGAGATATCAGGTTCTCCAAATATAAATTATTGTTCGATACTGTTTGGAGATCAAACTGTGTACCTGATTTCAGAAGCACAAGCACTTGGTGCAGCAATATGAGGGTAATATGATTACAGAAAGGGAGATGTCATTTATATTTGGAGAAAAACAGTTATATTTGTGGACACTCTTGACATTAAGGTTAATTCTGTCTTTCACTCTCTCTGTGTCCTTCCTCTGTCTTTGCACTACCTCTTTTAGTAACCTATTTATATCCATTACATAATTGTGAGGAATATTAACATTTCCACATCTCTCATTATTGCTGTTTAAATACAGTTCAACATACCATTTAACATGCCAAAAGCTTGTACTCCCAAACTAGTACTCCCAAGTAGTACTCCCAAACTATTTACTATGTTTCAGTACCAGCCATGAGATATCAGGTTCTCCAAATATAAATTATTGTTCGATACTGTTTGGAGATCAAACTGTGTACCTGATTTCAGAAGCACAAGCACTTGGTGCAGCAATATGAGGGTAATATGATTACAGAAAGGGAGATGTCATTTATATTTGGAGAAAAACAGTTATATTTGTGGACACTTTTGACATTAAGGTTAATTCTGTCTTTCACTCTCTCTGTGTCCTTCCTCTGTCTTTGCACTACCTCTTTTTCTTCCCTCATGTCTTGCTCTCTCACCACTTTTTTAGCTTTCTGTTGTCTCTCCTTTCCACTTTCGCTTTCTTCCCCTCCAGGCTGCCGGTCGCCACGGATGTGTTGTGTGTGTGTTTATTGCGGAGGGTGTGTGTCTCCACAGGGGTCAATGGGTATTCTGCCCTGTCGTGAACACCATACCTCTGGATTAATACGCCACATAGTCTAACATTAATACACGTGATCAGATTCTCGTGCTCTCTGCCTGATTGATTCAGTATTCTACCTTAAACTAGCTAGAACAGGGAATCTGTGCTCTGAGAGAATATAGAGATTTGTAAACCCAGAGCAAAGAACTCTGGGTAAAAAAAACAAAAACAATAACCTATGGGAGATGGATGTGAAAGCCACCTCAAACTCAAACGATGACGTCAGTGTCGTTTGTGCTCTGCGTTCTCTCTCCTCTCTCTGAGAACTATCGAAGATCATTTCTGCATTTTTGCTTCGTTTTTTTTTTTTTTAAATGAAACTGTGGAATCCGTCGCGTCTCATGTTCCTTGTGTATTTTGGTGTAGTTCCTCTAGTTTGTGGTCTAAATGCAGTCTTGCGCTGTTGGTTTCAGTGTGTGATTATCCGTTATACTCGTGTGGATGATGAAAGTGCCAATCAAGCCTGGTTAAGATTAGCTTTGCGATTTGTTTGTGCATTAGAGTTGCTCTCTTTGGAGTGCTGGTGTCCATATCTACGTCATTGATAATTTTAGATCGACTTAAAATGTAAAGAACTATTGGAAGCAATATTGTAGCATGTTGTCAAGTTTTGTGTTTTGTTATGTCTGTTGTATGAGCCTTTGGATTTACTACAAATTTTGAATGAATAGGTTTACATGTACTTTTTTGTAATACCGTAAGTTAAAAAAAATAAAAAATGCTGCTATTTGATAAGTGAAATATACAGAAATATTTTAGTTGAGAAAAAAAAACGTCTGGTCTGTTGATTAGGATTGTGCTCGTTTTTTGACAGGGGTATAAACGAGGTGTATCAATATTAATTACATAGACGCAGTAATAATAGTCAACCTGTGCCAAACTAGACCTTTACAGCTTCTCAACATGTAGGTGTGTGATGAAACATTAGATATCGATAACTTATTTAAAAGCATTGAACAAGTGCCAATCAATCAATATCTTTTAGTTCCAATGAAAAGATAATCAGCGAAGGAAAAAAAAAAGACATGGCGCAATGTTAGCATTATTTTAACCCCATAGCTGCATAGACTAAGAGAAGAATTGTTTTATGCATCCATATGGTTTTAATACACTCAGTAGAGGCATCCTGTGCATTCGTTTGACCTGTGGCTTCCGCACTGCTTTTAAGTCATATTGTCTCTGTAGGTCGGCATGGAGTAGGCATACACATGTTATACGCATTCATAACACAGCCATTTATGAAAGTGTGTTTTGTGGATTTAGGTGTTATCTTTTTGCACGTCTCTATTGCATGATATCCAAGTGAATTATTGAGGGGTGGGAAATCAAAACAGACAAATATGAAAAAATAAATAAATAAACATCTTGCGTCGCTCCGAGACACACTTCTGCATGTGTCAGAAACAGAGCACTCTTTCTTTCTACCACTTCATTTGTGTTTCTCTGGTTTGTACAGCTTCCGTTTTTCTCGGTCAGATGGGTGTGGTCTTCTAAAGGCCAGTACACATAGGCCTAAGAACTGCAGTGTAACCATGGGAACTGGAGTCAATCAGGAATTCATAAAAGTGAGAGGATTCCAGTTTACGATGGTGGAATGTGTGAGACTCCATCACTCTGCCTCTAATTTCAGGGGGAAATACCCATGCATGGAAACGTCATTTAAGTTCAGTTTTTTTTGGCTACGGTCATGTTTATTCATATGAGGAGTTGCGTTTATCGGTTTCAGACTTCTCTAGTTTCTCAGCTTGATTCTCCTAACCCCACATGTAATTTATGAATGTATTTACATTTGCATAAACTGAAACAAAATGTTATTTCAATGTTAAATGTCTTTTAGGTGTGATGTTTACGGCGGAGGTTGTAAAGTTCATGTAGCTCGATCATATCTGTCAGTAGTGTTAGGAAGGCCCAGAGCCACATTAGCACCCAAATTCATTTCTCTCTCTTCCTGTCTGCTGATGCATCAAATGCACTTTACTGAGCATTAGGTCCCATCACAAACACACACAGTGTAACCTTCTACTGGATGCAAAACTGAACCAAGCAACCTGTTTTTAACATGGAGAACTTTGACAGATATATTGTTGTTTTTCTTGTTGTTGTGTTTTAATTATTTTCCTTCTTTGGTGTTTGTAAAATGAGTTGTAATATTTTAAAGTGTGTTTATTTTTGTATTTCTGTTCATTTTGGGGAGGAGAG